TCCGACAGACTCGCGTCCGGCATACTTGCGTCAAATCCCGACATCTTGCACGATCAAATTCCGATCGCACGTGTCGAAAACCTCGTACTTGAATAGTTTCGTTTGGAACGTAAAAACTCATATTTTGTCATATCCCAACACTTCCCATCAAAGACAAACAACACAACAACTCGCGGATCGACTTTCAGCGTTTCGCAAGTTCTTTTTTGGGCTCCCATCAAGCCCATCCCACCGTTCGATTTGAATTAATTTCTGAGGCACAGTACTCATACGATTTAATTCGAACAAAGAACTTGGTTTCTACAGGCGCCCAAGTTATTTTTCAAGGTTCGGGACGACAAAATTTTGGAGTGCTCGGCTAGTAGCGGCCCTATCGCTGTAGTTGTAAGGTATTGGAGTTTTACTTATTTTATCGATCGCTATCGATACAGCGTTGAGTGTCGCCAACTCCTTTCGTCGTCAAGGAGTTTTCTTCAGAACCAAGGGATCCGAATCTTTCAACCGGTCGAATAGCTTCTGTGGTGGAAGTCCCGCTTCGAAGGTTCACCTTCCCTCGCGAAGTAAAACGCCGGACCTACACCAGACGCCCCAGGAACGAATTTTTGTTGTGCAAGCAATTGACTCAGGCGTGTCTGCTTTTCCTCTTCTACTTTGGGATTGCATCGGTTCCAGTCCAACGTTAGGACCGTCCTCAGACTCAGGGCGTACACAAATTAGAGTTCGCAGGGTCATCCTACCTGTAATAGACTTGTTTGCTTGCATTCACCAGGGGTTCTAACTCGCTACTCCGGGCAAGTCAGGTCACCGGTCCTCCGTGCTGTGTCCCTTCCTACCTATCAGCTTGGCCGGTGACCAAGGATTGTTCCTGTGCTCAGCTTCTCACAGGATAGGGGGGTTAATCGATCTATAGCAAAGGTCGCCTCTGACTTTATATACTTTTAAATTATTTTTGAAGTCAGGCTCTACTACTGCTCTTTATTGTCCTACTATGAGCACCGAAGGTGAACTACAAGCCCAACGTCGTGACCAAACTCGCGAGCAGCGTCCAACCTTGTCAAGAGGAGGATCTGTATCCTCTCAATCGTTTCATGCGTCCTTAGGTTTGGGATCTAATTCTCCCACGCAACCATCAACAACCCGCCACTGTCCTCCTGGTCATTGTCCAGAGAGTCTAGAACACATTCTGGTTGAGGTTCTCGATCTCCCTCCAGATGGTATTCTTGCTCAAGCATTGAAGCATGCTAAAACTACCTGCTTCGTTGACCTCATGGCTATGACCGATGTGGCGATTGACTCTCTTGTTTATCCAAGCAGTCAAACACCTAATGATGAAGGCAACTTCCAAGATGATCAACTTGCCCTGGTACCACTGTCCATTTGCAGTCTCATCAAGGTCATCCAAGGGTACGTTTACTACCGCAAACATGTCCATAACGACCCTGTCAACCCTGACAACTGCATGGATATTGACTACGGAAGTGTACTCGGCTATAGAGCTTCTGGAGAGTTCTTAACTTTTGGTAATAGAACTATTCCACAACCTATTATCCAGAAACCAAGTCGTCGTACCCCTGCTGATGAATTCGATAGAAGCATCAGACGAGAACCGTCGTCTTTCCCTACTTTCAGCAATGACAAGCAATGGGAAAACTATAATCGTAATCTCGCAGCCATCTGTCGCACTTACGGTCTACAAAATGTCCTTAATCACAAGTACCGCCCACAAACTGTTGATAAAAAGGACCTCTTTGACCGTCAGCAGGCGTTCATGTATCAAGTCTTTACCACGACTCTCCTCACCGATAAAGGCAAGCAATTTGTTCGTGAGCATCAAGCAACCTTCGATGCGCAGAAAATTTACAATCAACTTGCTAAAGCCTACACTAAGTCTGTTAAAGCTGATGCCACCGCTACTGGACTTCTACAATGGATTATGACCGCTAGGCTTGATGATTCATGGCGCAACACACATGAATCATTCATCATCCATTGGCAAGAACAAGTACGCAAATACCACACCTTGGCAGACATTAGTCAAAGGATGCCAGAAACCCAGCAACACCTGCTACTCGAACAAGCCCTTATTGCTGTCCCTTATCTCGATGAGATTCAGAGACTCTCTAGGATTCTTGAGATGCAAACGGGTAAGGCAATCATTTTTGATGACTATGTCACACTGGTGGAATCTGCAGCCCAAAGTTACGACACTTGGCAAGTCTCCAAGCCTAAGCCAAATACAAATAATCCTAGTAGAGACGTCTACTTTACTGGTGTTGATTCCGGCTTAGACGATGACAACCTCGATATCAAATTTAACATTGATCCTGATATTGCACCGCTTCCTGATAAAGCAAAGGCTGTTATTCTTGGAGCATCTTCCGAACCTGCATGGCCGTCACCACCACCACTGCCCCCACCTCTGCCACCGCGCCGTTTGGTCAATCTTCATGACATCACGGCTGCTGAACTCCTCGACCACTTCCAGGATGGGAGCATGGGGAGTGCTTCTGGTGCTCTTCCTCCTGAAGTGGTTGATAATGCCAGAGACAACATCTCAGGGTATGTGACTGAACGTCAATCTCTCAGACCTGGAGGAGCAAACGGTGGAATTGCTGGTGATGATGTGACCACCTTGTCTCAAACAAATCGTTCTGTAGAGGTTCGAGCCATAGATGATCATCAACTAACGGATGTGTCCATCAAAACCCTACCACACATTGTCTTAACCTCTGACAAGAATTGGGATCCTGGTGTTCTAGACTCCAGAGTGGATGAATTTGATCCCAAACCTGACGATGGATTGGAAGATCTAGATCCCAAAGTGGACGACATTGACAAATGGACCGACTGTATCACTGGCAATGGATTGGAAGGAGCTAAGAGCCGTTTTGATCAAGTAGATATCCTCAAGAGACATTTTATTTTTGATGAAGCTATTTTTGACGAAGCCATACACTTCTTTGAAACTTTTCAGTATTCATCACCGTTTGATGAACCGTACAAGGATTCCGAATGTACAGATACCGGAACAGATTGCCCAGATACTGGACCGGACTATTTTGAGGACACATTAGCTATTGACATACCTTCCAAACGTCGATGTAACACAAGTTGCAAGGTTTGTTTTGGTCATGGTATTTGGCCCGGCAATGGGGAGCAACCAGACACTGGACCTCCACAAAGAAACAAGCAAGGGCACAAGACTTTGCCACTAGCTGATACTATGGTGTACAAGAACCCAAGCTCAGCAGTGAAGTCTCATGAACGCAACTGGGAGCGACTACGTCAATATTTTGCGTGGTTACCTAAGCATTCTTTTCACTGTACTACTACTGATCTGGCTAGATCTCCCACGAACGCCCACCATGAACACAAATATCGTCCTCTGTCTCCACTTCCAGAGCCAATCAGTTGCATGGTCGTCTTGGTAGGCATCGCCAAGCATGATTGTCACGACATGACCAACATATTTCTGTTTCTTGAAACAAACAACGTCTTGTTACCTTCTGACATCTGCTCTGCTCTACCACCTACCGGACTACACAAACGTCTTGTTCTACCTGATGGGGAGGAGTTAGTGCTCCCTACAATAACCAAATCAATTGATCTATCTGATGGGGAGGAGTTGACACCCCCTCGCAAAATCAAATCTAGAGACCATAAGTCCCTCAAGACCATTGTTCATTCTAGTGATGCTGAATCAGAGATAGAAGACGTTCTTTTAGAAGAAAAGGACCTCATTGGACAGACTTTCCTTCTCTCACCAGATGATGAAGGTTATGTTCAACGTGCTAAGATTGTTGAGCTTAATTATAAGCACAATTGCAACACGGACATTCAGCCTGCACGCATTCAACTATGCTTGAACATTGATAAAGGCAAATATGAACATGTTATGGCTTACCATGAGATCCACAAGTGGTCAGAAACTGACAAGGACAACCCCATAGATACAAAGCTGAAGCAAGTTGTATGCCACCATCACTACATTTGACTTGAACAGCCTTCTTATTACCTGGGTCTGACTTACAGTATGACCATTGGATGGAAACATGGGGAGAATACCCCAGAACCACTGAACATCACTGGAGCCAATGAATCAGTGACCTACGCTATATACTCAAGAAATCATAACCTACCAGAAAATCAAGGTTGTAAACTTCTTCAAAATATAGTGAAGGACAAGAGGAAATTCCTCTGTCCAACCAATCAAGTCAAGCTGAGATTGCTACATGCTACTACACCAAAGTATCTGTACAACTACAACATCCAGGAGGACCACAATGGCGTCCTTCGACTTGACAAACTCCATGGCAACACCAACTGGAAGCATGCCACCAAAGTTGAGATGGATCTGCTTGCAACGTACAAGGTCCTTGTGGATATGGGGAGAGGAACCCCATTGCCAAAAGATCACCAAACGTTCAGAGTCCAACTTGTCAATGCCCTTAAACATTTTGACAAACACAAGCCCAGGCTCCTACCGTTTGGTGACCTTACCTATGTACTGCCAAACAAAACAAAACCTAGCTGTCTATTGACAGACCAATCTGTTGTGGTTATAATCCATCATATGTTGAATGGAACCCCAATCGGTTTCTTCTCTAAGGAGCAGTCAAATGTTGAGACTGCTACTTATGGTTCTGAGTTTGTAGCCACTCAAACCTATGTCAAACAGATCATGGATCTTCAACAGACCTTGAGGTACCTTGGTGTGCCAATCAAAGGTCAAAGCTACATGTTTGGTGACAATGAATGTGTTGTGAACAGTTCTTCCCGACCTGAAGCAAAGCTACACAAGGGGCATGTTGCATTGTCGTTCCACCGTGTGAGAGAAGCAGTAGCATGTAACATGCTATCTTTTATCCACATTGACGGTGTTCTTAACCCTGCTGATATTCTCAGCAAGCATCGGGGCCATCAGCAAATCTGGCCACTATTACGGACTCTAATGTTCTGGTCTGGTGATACTGCTGATCAAGAGGAATAGGTCCTCTCACTTTGCCCCATTTGGGGAGTGACAGAATTCTAATAGGAACGGGACTCGTGACTCGACCTATAGGATTACCAGGTTGAAGTGTAGCCTGTGCCTTGCACGCGTTGCCTGTGCGTGAACCGCTACACACCATTGATTTAACGTAGAGAATGCTGAGTCATCAGCGTTCTGCGATAATTCTAGAGATTTGCATGGAAAAGTGATGAACGATCGCTTTTCTCACTGCACGTTGTTTTACCTGAATTGATCTTTATCTTCTTGTGAAATAGCAGTCGCACTATAGGCTTTAAGTCTATTCATCTATTCTTCATTTATTTCTGTCAAGACGGACAGACAGAATGTCCGATCAAATGATTCACATGCACGATCCATCGCTCAAAGGAGTGTGTTGGGAATTCACGTGCGCGTGTAAGAACTAATGAAGTACTGTTGGAACTAACAAAGTACTTGTGGAAAATCCAGGTTTATATGGATTAAAAGTGGTCTTCAGGCATGACAAATAGATAGGATATACCGGTAGCTGGGTCAGAACCAGCTTGTCACATTTTTGAGGACCAGACTGGCTGTTTTAGCCAACATATCCTTTGTCAGAGCAATTGACAATTGAGTGGTCAAATTTGATCAGGTTTTGTAGTTGAGACGTCCCTGACCTTGGTCAGCTACAGTCATGATCAAATTCGGGTCCTGCTCCGGCGGGTTGATGATGCTATCCTTCATGTTGACTTAAATTTAATTCCTGTTTCAACAACAACAACTGTTTTCCTGTACGTACGAAACGCGTAGGACTGGTACAGTTTTGTTTTGGAGAAGTTTGTGGAAAAATAATTTCTACCTTTGAGTTTTGATTTTTGATTTCTGAATTTTATAAATTTGGCGTCGGACCACCTCATTTACATCAAACACAGAGCCGGAGTGGTCATCCCCCCTCCCGTCATCAGCTTCTTCCCTTGAAGGCAAACATAAGCCCAACGTCCCAGCCCTGTCAAATTGCTGCCACCTTCCTTAGCTCGGTGCAAGACCTGGCTGAGCACTGTCGCAATACATCCTCCCCACTGAAAAGCTGTAGTTGCCAATGATCGTGACTGCTGTTTATTATAGGCGACCGCCAAATAGAAACCTTTTTGTTTTGCCTTCATGGTCGCCTGACGCATTCTATCGTTCCATCCATGACCCTCTGAGATAGAGGGCCAATATGTTTTGGCCTCTGCCAACAACGCGATTCCCACTCGTTCATCTTTCAGCCAGGAGTTGATCTGCCGCTGTTTCTCATGGTCACCATCCTCCAGGACGCCGTTGACGTTCTGGAAGGTAACGCGAGTAGCTAGTGAAGAGCGACAGCGATGATTGTCACCAAGGGAGTCAGTCTCCTGCTGGAAAAGAATGTAAATATTTGTCAAGTGAAGTGTGGGAAACAACACTGGACGGGCCACTAATTCGAGATCTTCTGCCTGCACGGTGTGACCTAGCAGCAGGCGACCTGGGTCCTCTAATGACCCTGCCGCGGAGCAATGTGCTCCGCGCCCGGCCAAAGAAGGCAACTTTGCAGATCCGCTAGTACCAGATTTGCTAGATGGAGAAGGGAGAAAAAATGGGTGTACACCTCCCGGCGATGCCGCAGTCAGAGAGGACACAGCTGTCGTAGTATCACCCTCCATCTGATTTGTGTCCACCTGGACCTGAGACGTGTTCCAAGAGCGCTGCTTTGGCTGCTGAAAGTGAACAGACGTGCTGGTACTACCATCACCCATGAATTGATTGTTGTAATTGATGATGTCAATGTGTCGGTGTAGTTGTCTAACAGGGCATTGTATCAAAGACATGGTTGATTCTGAGAGTCTGGATACCGTTCTGCCCATGAAAATAAAGCATTGCCCGTTTGAATGCAATCCAACCTTGTCAACAATTGAACTGCCACATCTCCTGAATATAATTGTTCTAACCGCCACTCAGAGAGTTTGGGCACCACTATATTGTAATGATCGATATGGCGAGTGTCTTGGCGCGCAGCAATTTGTTGTGCCTCCATTTTGTCACCCATTTGTGGCGCTCCTTGTTTGTTGGCGAGTCTCTTGAGTTTGACATCATAGGAATGGACAGGACCTCTGTCTTTAGGCTGTTCCAAATCAATTCCCAGTCGTTTTTTCACCAATTTTTTCCCAGCTGACTTTACCACGCCCAGCTTTGTTGTATGAGCTGAGACGGCCTGCGGAGCTGGAGATTTGCCCATGTTTTGCCAGTGATTTTTCATTTTTTCTATGTAAAACCAGTACTAGCGCTACGCATGCAGATTGGCTGGTTCTGCTTGTTTGCGTGTTGTTTCGTTTCTGGTTTATTTTTTTTCTATGTTACAGTATAGTCATATATGATGCTTTCAGATTCGGCTATTGTACATTCTACTCTGACGGCAATACAATCAACTTTTTGCACCCGTTTGAGGCAATGACTTGATTCCAAAGGTGAAGAGAATACTACCCACTACCTACCTATACCAGTATCAGCAGTTGATTTCAATCTGCCATCAGAGAGGAAGACTGCATTGACCCCTGATCAAGGTCCGATGATGCAAGAAGAAAAGAACTTTCTTTTTAATGACTCTTTCATTTGTGTCCCAACTCAAAAACAATCTTTGGAGTCTATGGGTGAATCAATGAACAAAAAGAAACTAACTCCTATTTCTTTGATGCAATGGGGACTGATTGGAGGAAAACAGTCTGCGAAACCTCTCCTAGTATTGTTTTATTCAGGTGGTGAAAACACAATGATCCATGCATGATGCATTCCACAAGGCGGGATGGTAAAAATTGATCCTAATGTTAAACCTTGTGCAACTGTATCTGGAGTTTCAATGCTAACAAATCCATTGAACTGCAAGACAGGCTCTTTCCAGAGTTAGATCGGCATTGGCGAATCTACAGTAAAACAGTGACAGTTTTGGATGCACCAAATTGTCCACATGATATTATCCTTGGTTGCAACTTTCTCAATGAACTTGGAATCGTATTCAATTTTCAAAACCATCAAGTCAAATGGATTGACAAAATCATTTCCATGAAGTACAAGACTCACTTTCAAAATCACACCAACTGGACTATTGCACTGGATTGCGGCTACTTGGATATTTTGGATGACTATGACATTGCAGATGATGCTTTCATTGTCGATGCAAAGTATGAAGCAACAACTGGAGCTGAAGTTGCTTCCAAGCAGGTCCACTTGACGAAACAACAACAAGATCAATTGACAACTGCATTGGAAAATACACAAGAGCTTTTTGATGGAAACCTTGGACACTACAAACATGAGAAGATCCATTTGGAAGTTGAAGACGGTGCTGTACTGATTCATTCCAAAGCCTATTCCGTTCCTGTGAAACACCAACACGCTTTTCTCAAGGAACTTTGGCATTTGGAATCCATCAACGTACTCAAGCAATGTGGTCCAACTGAATGGGCCTCTCCTACATTCATTATTCCAAAGAAGGATGGAAGAGCACAATGGATCAGTGATCTTTGCAAGTTGAACAAGGTTCTCAAATGTAAAGTGTACCCTTTGCCATTGATTGATGAAGTCGTCTCTTGTCGTGCTGGCTACAAATTCTTTACCAAACTTGATCTCACCATGATGTATTATTCTTTTGAGCTTGATGATGAAAGCAAGGAATTGTGCACGATTGTCACCCCATATGGAAAATATCAGTACCAACGAGTGGCAATGGGATTGAAACCAGCTCCTGATGTTGCTCAATACTATATTGAGAAGACATTGCATGGTTTGAAGGAACAAGGTGTTGAAGTCTACATCAACAATATTGGACTCTTTTCTAACTCTTATGAAGAACATATGCAATTGATCAAGACTTTTGTTGAATGACTTCAAGAGGCAGGTTTCAAGATTAATCCTTTGAAAGGTGAATGGTGTGTTCAAGAAACCAATTTCTTGGGCCATTGGTTGACCCCTGAAGGTGTCAGACCTTGGAAGAAAAAGGATGATGCCATCCCAACATGAATGCACCTTGCAACATTACTGAACTATGAGCTTTCTTGGGTGCTGTGACCTACTATTGTCACATGTGGCCCCGATGTTCTCACCTTTTGCAACCGTTGACAGCTCTCACTGGAACACGCACATTTCAATGGACAGACGAATGTGAAAAAGCTTTCCAATATTTTAATGCTGTATCCCAATCACAACAAGCCCTTTGAAGTCTATACTGATGCTTCGGACTATCAAATGGGCTGCAAACTCAATGATGCACAAAAGAATTATTCTGTCATGGAAGAAGAAATGTTGGCTATTGTGCATTGATTGAAAGAGTTTTGCTTGATGCTTTACGGTACACAATTGCCTATTTTTACAGATCACAAAAATCTCACCTTCCGCATGTTGAATACACAACAAGTTTTATGCTGGCGAATGTACATGGAAGAATTTTTGCCTATGTTTAACTATTTGCCTGGAAAAGATAATGTTTTGGCCGACTGTTTCTTGCGTTTACTGCAAATGGAGAAACCTTCTGGGTGGAAGAATTTGCTTTCTAAAGGTAAATTGATTGCATTTGACAAACTCAATGTCAAAATGGATCCTGAGGATGAAATGTATTCTTTTGAAGAAGAACTTCTTCTTCCACCTCCATCTGAAGCAGAATTCAATTGTACCTTCAGAGGCATGTTTGCTTGTTGTTGAGATGGTGATCATGGACATGGCGCTATCAAAAATGATGTGATGCTTGAATCGTTTCTCAATCATCCTCCATTGGAAAATAAAATTCAGTTTCAAAAATCAAAAAACAAACATCACGCATTTTGCAAAAACAAAAAGTCATCTTCTCTAGTAATTTATCTATGCAATGACCGTGTAGCGACACCGGTTTTTGCTGTGAAAAGAGCTTGATTGAGGACTTCAACCATGGGCTCTGATGATGATCAATCAGATGAGATGGCTCTGAACTTGACAAAGGCTGCAACTGATCAAGGTCAGGGAGGCCTGGAGGAAAAAACACGTTCAAATTTGACCACCCAACTGACGGTTGACTTGGTAAAGGATGATCCAAGCGATGACCCCATGGAACTGTTTGAAACCGTTTGGCATGCTTTGATACCTCCCAAGAGCGGACACAAGCAACCCCCTCCTTCCAAAATCGCCCAGGACGGCGCACTGAAAGGACAGCCGCTTGTTGCCTCTCCCAAGAAACCCAATCCAAGCGATGACCCCATGGAATTTGTTGAAAGTATTTGGCATGCTTTGACAACGGCGTTTCCACCAACCATTGATCATTCTTTGGACCAATTCTCAATTGGATGGTCCACAAAACAAGGTCAGAACCAGAACAAAATTTTCAACTATTTACACACAACAACAATCCTATTTTATGATGTCTGCGCTGCCCATCAGAAGTGACCAACAACCATGGGCTCGAATGACGAAAATCACAAGAGATGGCATTGAAATTGACAAGGACTGCACCTGAGCACGCTCAGGAAGGTCTGGAGGCAACAACCCGCTCGAATTCTACCACCTTATTGACGGTTGACCTGGTGAAGGACAACCCCAATGCTCGCATTTCCTCCATGTTGTACAGCTTATTTGTCTTGTTTTTTTTCTCTGGAAAAGATACAGCAGAGCGATTTTCTTGGTCTACCTTTCCAAATCCCCACCAACAGAGTGGGAGCGCCAATCTGCCCATGACAGATGACTTGAGAGAATTGCATTCAATTCTTTCCTTGGAAAAGGTACCCACAAAATTCCTCTGTATCCCAGGAGATATTCTTGCATCTTGTTTGTACTTCCCCACCAACAGTGGGAGCGCCAATCTGTCGCCTGACATGATTGACTAGAGCAACTTTTTTCTTGAAAAATGTTTAACGTGGTTCAAACTTATCTGACGAAAAGCAGCATAGTTCCTGGCCTCAACAGCCGTATTACACCGGCAGTTGGATACTCTAGAAGTAGCATAAATACCAATTAATGATTCAGTTATATATATATATGACGATTTTATGTCAAGTCACATGGCCCCAAAAGTGAATGACAAATTTGCTGCGTGGTTGAACATGAGATATGGTTCAATCAAGGCATGCACAATCGTCAGAGGAAAGATACACAGATATCTTGGAATGACTTTGGATTTCTTGGTGAAAGGAAAACTCAAGATCCGCATGGACAACTATGTCAAGAACATGTTGGAAGATTTTCCTATCAAGTTCAACACGGATTTAAAGCAGGAAACACCAGCTGGTAACGATTTACTGGAAGCTGGTAAAGGGAAGTTACTCAGTGCTGAGTACTGTCAGATATTCCATACTACTGTTGCAAGGGAGTTTATTTCTGTAAGAGAGCTCGTTTGGATATCCATCCGACGGTTACTATTCTTGCCTCGAGAGTTTGAGAGCCTACAGAGTCTGATTGGAAGAAGTGTGTTCGCATGATGCAATATTTGTTTTGTACATTGTTGTATCACCTGACACTTTCTGCAGAATCACTACGAGTCATGAAACGGATGATCAACAAATCATTTGCGGTGCATCCAGATTTCAAGAGCCATACTGGCGGCACTCTGTCCTTTGGAGGAGGTGCAGCTCAAGTGATGTCAAAGAAACAAAAACTAAACAGCAGAAGCAGTACGGAAGCGGAACTGATTGCTGTTGACGATGTTGTCACAATGATACTATGGACAAAGTTGTTCATGGAGTGGCAAGGGTATCCAATTGAGAAGAATATCTTGTATCAGGATAACAAAAGCATGATTCTACTGGAAGAGAATGGTCGCAAGAGCGCGGGCAAAAGAAGCCAAGCTATCAATATTCGTTATTTCTTTATCACAGATCAAGTTGAGAAAGGAAATGTTAAGATCAAATACTGTCCAACTGACAATATGATTGCGGATTTCATGACTAAGCCATTGCAAGGTGAGAAGTTTCGCAAGTTCAGGGATCTGATTCTTGGTTCACAGGAATAGGTCAGACAGGTATGTATATGTTCAAAAATGAAAATACAAAACAAAAATAAACAGTGAATGAGAGCATTGCCCATTGCTGCCAATGGTGATTGTCACAATGGCAGGAGTGTGTTGGGATATGACAAAATATGAGTTTTTACATTCAAGTACAAAGTTTTCGACACATACGATTGGACTTTGATCGTGATGTTGGGATTCGTTGCAAGTATGCTGGACGCAAGTCTGTCGGACAATCTACATCCACACAAAAAGGGAATGACCCTATACAAGTGAGATATCGGTGTTGTGTACGATGCAGTAGGGAATAATACAAGATGTCCCAAAGTACTGCATTCTACACAGAATTGTCGTAGAGGTCAAATCACCTTCTGTAAACAAGGGATTTTCCATGGGAAAATTGTTGAACTTACTTTTGTGATTGAATCATCAATTCAAGCCAAACATTAATCAAATAGGAACAATTTCACTCAAAGTATACCTAGACACAGGAGAACTATTGTCGTGAAAGTGATGTACAATCGATTACAAATTTAGATTGCAGAGAGTTTGTTCTGAGCGCTAAAGGCACTCACAATAGAGCACATTTTGCTTTATTCTAACAATCCCATCATGCAAATTGACAATTGGAATGTGATCTGCTACCATGCAGATTTGAATAAACCTAACAAATGGAGAATTCACTTGCCTGAAACTTTGGTTGCTCCAGTGATTGTATTGTTTTATTTGGTACTTGGACATTGAGATACTATCTCTGTGTACAATACAATTGTCTGACAGTTCTATGCTCCTGCTTTGAAAAGAAAAGTTGAATCCCTCAGATGTGTATAGAAAAAGAAAAACGGAAAACGAAAAGCACAGAATCGATCGGAACTTGCAAACAGTATCCGTAGCCTAAGTACTAGAGTCTACGTAGAAATCACAGCAGTTTTATCAATTCAACGGCATTTCACTGTTCTACAATGGGAAAGTATACATCTCTGAACATCTGTCCTCCAGTTTGGCGACATTGAAAAGATTGGAGCCTTATGTTTTTATCCTCAGGAGATCAACATTAAGGCCATCGAGAAAGAACTGATGCGTCATTTTGGTTGGGATATTGTCATTGGACTACGGTACGAATGGGTCAACACTCCGTATAACGGACGCAGCAAGTGGAACGAAAGAGCACCAGGGTGCATGATGTGGCACGTCTACGTGAGAGCAAGACACGCCAAGCGGGTGGACCGGGCATTACGCCTGTGGCTTCACCCCTCAACTCCAAAGAAAGATTTTCCGTGGTGCGCTGTCACCCACTACATCAGCGATTGGAAGGCAGCTCAAAATGGGATAGTCAGTGTCAAGGCCGTTGGTCCAGTGAAGGATGAGAACCTGACCATGATTTCGAAGCACAACGATTTTGTTGAACTTACTCAGGCCAAGTACTGCCCAGTCGAGATCCCAGGAATGCTTAAACAGGCGACCACAAAGGATTTTGGCCCTTGCACCTGTTTGTCCATGTTCCTCTCGGTCAAGGCACAGCCACTGCACGCTGATAAAGTTGCGGCGGCCGATGTGGACACCGACTCCGACTCTGACGATTCTCTCCTTGATGACATCTCTCATAAGTTTACAAAAGTGACGACCAAAGGGAAGACAAAGATAAAGAAGAGGGTCCCAAAAACTTCCAAGCATCTGTCTCTTGAGAACGATGGCCCTGTTCTGACACCAGCGCAACAGCGCCGGGCCCGAGAGTCGGAAAGGAAGCGAAAAATGGACCTGGAGAATAATGTCCCAAGCCCGCTGTTCATCATGGTTCTACCTGGCGAAATGGAAGGGACTTATCTCTTCATCAGCCGGTTGAAGTACGCAGCCTTGGCAACAAACGTTTTGAAAGGACTGGTTCCGTTCTTCACTCATCATTTGGGGAAATCAACGACTACTCGATCCAACAGAGTTCTAGGCAAATGGTTCCCTAAGTCTCTCATCCATACGACACGCCGCAAGGAACTTGTGTGGTGCTTGGAGACTCTACGGGCACGACCAGCCGACCAAACTCAGCAGGGCATTGACGAAGATATCGATTTTCTGGATGGGTTTGGCTCTGATCCTCTTGATGTTGGTGAAGCAAAGTTGGAATTTGATATGGATATGGCGGACGCTAAAGATATTGACGATGGAGCTACGGTTGCTGATGCCATGGATGAGTTGTTGGAAAAGGATAGTCAACTGGAGGCTGCTATCATGGAGATTGAATTCAAGGACAATCTCTTGTCCAAACAGAATTCTGCTTTGGAGGCTGAACGATTACGATCTGAACAGTTGGCGCGCGAACTTGCCGCAATGCGCTTACTCCAACATCCATCAGCAAGCCGCACAGATCAGCCAACTCAGCTTGACAACAGTGGGCCTTCCACCAAGTCGCCTACGGAGGAGGATATTCCTCTCACAGAAAAGCCACACTCCTCGTCCACTCCGGCAGGCCCCCTCACCTCCCCACTGCCGGGATCTCCTTCTCCACCTGGGCCTAAGACAATGTTACCACCTCAGAATGCCGCCACTCGCCCCAAATCCTTTGTCAAGTCGGTGACTCCGGACCAAGCCCCGAGGACGGCACCTACAGCATGTCCTCCCAAGCGGGACGGTGGTACCAATGCAGAGTCTATCACTCCGTCCTTGACTGACACTCAAGGATCGGGGAGCCAATCCGATGCATCTACCCCATCGGTCTTTCCCATCTTCCTCCACCCTCAACAGTCTCCTCCCTCCGTCCCGGTTAAGGGCAAGAAGGGTAAGAAGAAATCATTGGCCGGCCGTGGAGCTTCCCGCTCCACGGCAGGGCAATGAGAGGCCCTCGATCGTCTGCCGCTAGGTCACAGCGAGCAGGCAGAAGATCAAGAACGAGTGGCCCCTCGACGGGTGTTCCCCATGCATCAGTTGAGGAATTTCTAAGTTCTCTTTCCCCTGGTGATTTTTTTGGCGACGATCACAGTGTCATCTACAGTCGTCCACTCGCCTTGTCTTTCAGAACGCCGATGGCATTCCAGCCTTAGCGACCGGATGGAAACAACAACAGATTAACCAGTGGTTGAAAGAAGAACGAGTGGGGATTGCGTTGTTGGCGGAGACCAACACACACTGGCCTTCCCTTCTGGAAGGTCAACACTGGAACGATAGGATGCGACAAGTAGCATCTAAGGGATATTATTTGGTCGCGGCGCACAATGAGAACCGAGCTCGACCCATCGCCTCGTGCTCGCAGTACGGTGGATGTGTGGCAACTATCTTGAACTCAGTTGCCCACCGTGCAAAATCTTTTGGTTGGGACCCCACTAAATTGGGCAGGTGGGCATATGTACGCGTCCAAGGCAAGAAGTTTGCAATGCCAACACCAGACAATCAAGTTCGCGACGCTTCCGACGCTTCAAGGAGTCGGTTCTCTAGGGATTTGGTTGTGGTGTCCGCGTACCGACCTAACCCTCCGGGGACTGGGGAGTCTACAGTGTGGGCACAACACCGGAGTTTCTTTCGCTCCCAAGGTCGACAGCGTGAACCAAGGGAGGCCTTTATGGTGGACCTACTTCAAGCCATCACCCAGTGGCGCGATGAAGGATGTGAAGTAATTTTGGGGGTCGGCGCCAATGAGGACATCAGCTCCACTAAGCCCTCTTCTTTTCGACAACGCCTTCGCGATGTTGGTATGGAGGAAGCTATCCTCCAACGACACCCTGGTCAAACGGCTGCCACTCAGCACCGGAACAAAAGGGGCAAACCGATCGACGGCATTTTCACGACCTCTGGGGTGGCTGTACAGGCTGGAGGCTACTACAACTTTGATGAGTTTTTCTCGTGCGACCACCGCGGTCTTTGGATTGATATCGACCTGGAGAAATCCTTGGGCGGGTACAAACCACAGCAGACCCCTTACAAACCCCGCAAACTTACTATGTTGGATACTACAGCAGTCCGCCGTTACCTGCACCTCGTTCACAAAGGCTATGAGGAATACTCCATCCCATCTCGCTTGGCGTCCCTACATCACCAACTACAACTAAATGAAGGGACCATGACAGCAACAATGGGTCGTCATTATAACTGCCTGCACCGTCAGATGTACGTCGTAAGGCGAAAGGCAGAGGAAAAATGTAGACGGGTCACTAATGGATTGGTGCCCTGGTCTCCCAAGATGCAACAGTTTTGGGATTGTCAATCCTTGTGGAAGATCCTTTTGAAGGAGAGGAAGGGTTGCCGGGTGAGTTCGCGTAAAATCCGCAGACTGATGAAGAAGGTTGGGATATCGGACGCATGGACAAAGACAACAACGGAATTGGAGGCCGCCCTCCGTCAGGACCGGAAGGACTACCTTGAGGCTAAGACCCATTATGCTGTGAAGTGGCGCAAGGAATTTTTGACTGTGCAGGCGGCGAAGTCCAAAAAGAAACAATGGCGGTCGCAAAAGGCCAGAGAACGTTTCCTGCGGTTACGGCGGATGAAGCAACGGGAGGAGGCGAGACGCCAACGCCGCGCTCAGGGAAAAGGATCTACTGGGGGATTACACGCGATCCAAGTCGAAGAAAGGCTGCCTTCAGGCGAAGTGGGCTTGCGGACTGTCTCTGAAAGGAGTCAAGTGAAACAGGGGTGCATGCAGGAGAATTGCGCACGGTATGATCAGACCAGATCGCCTCATATGACCCCTCCAATGGATGCTCCATTGTACCAAATGTTTAATGGCCATGACGCGGAACAAAACTCCCTGGCCCTTCTTGAAGGGCGTCTTCCTCTACCAGATGGCATTGACTATCCAACTCGGTCTTTCCTTTCTCAGTGCAGGTTCCACAAAGATCATTCTATGTCTCCTCTGGAGGTTTCTACTGAAGATCACACCTACTTCTGGTCTTGGAATCCGGAACACAAGGGCTCTGAACCTCATGGCCTGCATAATGGCCACTTTAAAGCTGAGATTCTCTGCCCTATGATCGCCCAGTGTGACGCCTTGTTTCGGCATATCCCTCTAACTACTGGGTTCGTTCCTGACAACTGGCAACATTTAATGAACTTTGCCATCAAAAAGAAGCCCGGGGAGTTTCGCCTGAAGAAAATGCGCACAATTCAGTTGATGAACTCTGAATCCCAGGCCAATTATAAGCAACTTGGCCGTCTGGCCATGACTTATGGCAAAGAACATCACGTGATTGCTGATGGTCAATGCAGGTCCCGAAAGCACCATCGAGCGATCGATCTTGCCCTGTCAAAGCGGCTGGTGTGGGACCTCCTGATTCTCCAGCGTCGATCGGCAGGGTGCATTTCGAACGATGCCAAGTCATGCTTTGATTGGGTAGTTCACTGGGTGGCAGTGGTTGCCATGATACGGTTGGCCATAACGTGGAATGCACTTCGGATGATGTTTGACACGCTGGCAACATCCACACGAACTGGCTTTGGAGATTCCGAAGCAAGCTTCCGACCGCCGTCAATGATTCCTTTCCAAGGGTGCGGACAAGGCAACGGGGCTGGCCCCCCCATCTGGGTCTCGGTCAGCTCTATTATTATTCAAATGATGGTGGCAATGGGTTTTGGATTTGAGTGTCTCACGGCGATCAACTCTCACTTGGTCACAGCTCAGTGCTTCTGTTTTGTGGACAACACGGACGTTATTGAGGCAGGGGCGTCGGTCGATCACTCCGGCGAGGACATCTGCCAATCGGTCCAGGCGGCTGCGTCCATGTGGGCTGGAGGAATTAGCGCTACCGGTGGAGCGATCAACCCGGACAAGTCCTTTTGGTGGTTGATCGACTTCGCGTGGGATGGCAGGAAGGGACAATGGACATTCAGGAAGAAGAATCAGTTGTTGCCGGACCACCGGCTTCAGATTCCGGGCTTGTCCGGCAAATTGGAATCTCTCCGTCGCCTTGAGCCGGGGGAGGCAGAGAAGACATTGGGAGTAATGCTTGCGCCTCTCGAGGACCAGAAGGCCCATGTTTCACATCTGAAGGGTATTGCCAAAGGGTGGGCTGAACAAGTTTGATCTGGTCACCTTCACAAATACGATGTGATTCCCTTGATCAAGTCCACTGTTATGAAGTCACTGGAATATCCAATGACGCTATTGACACTGGAGGCCGCAACATGGGTGGATATTATGAGCCCGGTTCTACAGGTCTGCCTGCCGAAAGCCGGCATCTGCAGAAGTTTTCCGCGTGATATGGTGTTGGCTCCATTGAAGTTCCAAGGCCTGGGTATCCCACATCCGTTCGGCTCACAGGTTTCCAAGCATATCGAGACTCTCCTCCGTCATTCGAACAACAAGACAAAAACCGGTGCTTACCTGGAAGCCGCTTTGCAAGAACACCAGCTCAAAACGGGCACTTCGTTCGGGATCTTTCAGCAGGATTTTGGCAACACGGCCGTCTTGGCTTCCGATACATGGATAAAGCGAGTCTGGAAAGAACTGGAGACCATGGACATCTATGTGGCCTTTGATTCTCCGGCCTTACCACTATGATGCGTTGGTGACGCTCTGCTGGTGGAAGTGTTTATGGATTTGGAGGTGGACCAAGACAATCTGAAATGGCTCAATTGGTGTCGTATGTTCCTTCAAGTGTGCACCGTTTCCGAGATTGTCACGGCTGATGGACGCTCTATCCGCCAGTTGGCTTGGTGCGGAGAGCGTGATGGCATCCACCGGTCTCCATATCAATGGCCGCGGACAGTTCGACCAAACCGGAACCACTGGCGTCTATGGCAGGACACCTTGACCCGGGCACTTCTGCAGTCGGATGACCCCTCTCATCCGCTCCGCCAACCGTTGGGCCCTTGGTTTGACCCTATCGACAACTGGAACTGGCTGGTCTCCCCAACGCATGGCGTCTTTCATTGTCATGGACACGCTTGGAGACACTACGGTCACCGATCAGGTTCCTACTCCTCTAGCCGGAGGTTCCACATGAGGCCGGCATCTCACGGGACGGCTGGGATTAAAAGACCAATGGCAGCCCTTGACGTCGCCGACGCCCTCTCGCCGTCGGGTCCCTTTTGGACCAAGCCAGCCAGTTTTCCACCGGGCACTTGTTGATTGTTGGAGCACCGGGACGCCTACACCCGTAAAGGTCGAGGGTTTTTTTCAGCCTCTTGTAGTCTTCTGCAGCCAGTCTCTTACAGACTCAGAAGACAAGTCTCTGCATTCACATCTGCAATCGACCAACTTCGGTCGGTCATTTTGCTGATTGTTGAATACGGCGGTAAACGGATTTAAGAAGGTCAAGGCAGTTTAAAAGTCCATAGAAAAAAGGACCACTCCTTGTTCCAATTCGTTGGAACCTTCATTTCTGTTCTGACCTGCAAGATGTTCAAGAAAACTAGGAAAGCCTGCCAGCAATCCTTGGGACTAGTGTGACCGTAGGGTATCCACTAGTACGGAACGTCAATTCATTGAGCCCTTTTTGTGAGGGATTTAGTCGACCGACCTTTGCACCAAAAGTATTTGGGACAGGCATCGTCCCTAGAGTCTTCGCTCTCGTGAGAGGACTCTTCCCCTACTTTTCCACCCCACAACAACAAACCAGAAATGCCAACTACTCGGAGCGGTATGAACTCTACACCCACTCCTCCTGCTGGTGCTGCCAACCAACCTGCCAGCCCTGCTAATACAACTGTTGGCTCTATTACCGTACAACCTGGTAATACCTTTGCGAGCCTCGAGTTTGCTGTCACGGTCCTCTTTCAAGCGTCTCTTGACAGCCCACTCAGGCGTGCTCTTTGTCGCGATGGATGTGTTAACTTCATGGATCTCCTCGGTTACAAAGAGGCTGAGCTCCTGAACCTGAAGTACAATACACCCATTCTTGACGCCAAAGGGGTGGATACTGGCCAAACTCAGCTTACTCAGCTTGAGCGGCCCTGTTGTGCTATTATTTGGGCCCTACATGGATATGCATACCTCCGTGAAAACGTTCATCGCGACCTGATCACTCCGATCAATTGCATGAACATTGACACAAAAGCATTCCAAAATTATAGATGTAGTGGTAGCTTTATAGTTTTTAATAAATCTTGCAGTCTTTGTGTGATCATCTGATCCTGTTTTCAGATGATGAAAGTAGCACTTTGGGACACCTTGGGGGAGTCGATCTCTATGGCATGTCATGGTGGCAGCAAATCCGATGCTGCCAAGGTGGTCCATGATTCCGCACCCCGAAAAGAAGTTGTCCAGAACCAAATGATGGGGCTCCCTGAAGATCTTGCCATCACCATCTTCCTTGGAGATCATGGTAGAGATCATTGCTGCAATCATTCGGACTTCATTTGGCCCTTGTGCACCAAATCCTGTAGGACGATGATGCAAGTTGTGGCGATGGATGTATGCTTGTGGACAACACCAAGACGCATCAGTTACAATCATGACTTGACCTCCTTTGGTAACTCCAGGCTTCCCTGACAAGGACCACCAAGTATAGGTATTAGATACAATTGATGTTTAGCAAACATTAGCAAGCGCTTCTTGACAGTCCAACACAAAGTTCTTCTTCTTACCTACAATCCGTTTGACTAGGCCACTCTCCCCATATCCCATGAACTTCCATGTCATCTTGTCACAAGATTGGTCAAGCTCCGCATGCAGTGACAAGCTGTTGCAGTTATCAGCAATGACTCAATATGCCATGTCATACTTTTGTGCAGGATTGTAGCAAGCATGCCCACGAGTGAAGCTCTTGTTGTTGTCGTTGTACTTGATTACCCTTTTGATGTGTCGCCATCAACTAAGAGTCATGGCGGTTGCCACTTCTTTATCATCGCACGAACAAGATGGATCCCATAGGCGGTAAATGGCACCCTTGCTTCCTCCACGGACGCCATCTCGAACCATAATGCCATGAAAGACCACAAGTTCTCTTGCCAGAACATCATGGATTGTTGGCCATATGATTCACCAATACCATTCTGGCCTGTATATGTCCGAGTGAATTTTTCAAGATCAAAATAGAAGCCTTTGCGTGGATCCTCGTCGATTCCGGACCTGTTGGGGTCACAGATAGGATACAGGAGTTTGTAGAAGAACAGGGCGTCATCTTCCTCCATTTGCGCCTTGGAGAGGCCAAGCTTCTTGAGTGTGGTGGCATTCAAGGATCCCTTTTGGCTATCCGGAAACATGTTTTGCGTTGTAGCGCCACTCCGGAAAGCATTGGATCCTGCTTCTTCATGATTGTGCTCCCAAGGACCATAGTGAAACTCCCATCCATTGCATGCTCTTTGTCCATTCACAGAAGGACAACATTTGGCACCAGCCGGTAGCTCGTGGCCTTGGTACTTTTTAGACTTGTCTACCTTGCCTCGGTAGATCACGTGGGGCCATTTTCCTGGGTTGTCGACTTGAACAAATGGAATCTCACCAGTGGCGACTCTTGGTTCAGGAGCTGGGTCTTGGTGGCCGGGAGGAAGACCAGCGATCTTAACATCAGGCTCTAGGTCCATCAGTTTCATAATAAGATCTTTCTTTTTGATGCAGTGATCGTCTTTGGAGCCTTCGGGTTTGCCAACAACACACAATTGTAGCATTTGTTCCAATTGTGCTTCTTCAGCTTCACAATCGAGGTGTTGGAAGTCTTCCTCATTCTCAATGCTGTGGTCGTCAAGCTCATCTAGGTCCAGTGCATCTTCATGGTCAGAGTCTACCAACTCTTCTGGTGAATCAGTTTGGACACTGCTTTGTATGGAGACTGATTCGGCTGCTGGCGACAGCTGAGTGATGGACGAGATGTTGGATAGGAGCCTTAATCCTGCTGGGGAACCTCCTATCACCACACCATTCCTTCCTGGGGCAAGAACAGAGCCATCTGGTAGTAATTTACCACCAGTAGATGTTTGTACGCTTTTGTTTGGTTGACTTTGACGGACCAGATGGTGTGTTTGCTGACTTAAATTTGAGGTATGACACATTTTGGGTCGAGGTGTAACACATTTTCCCGGGTCCACGTGAAAACCCTACTGCAACTTTTGAAGCGTAGGTCGGATACTAGCTTCCTGTACGGCGTTAAAATCGTTGAAGGATGGCGCACATGTTTGTAGTGGACAGTAATTACTAGATGATTAATCTGAGGGAGATTCATGCCGGCAAAATTGGTGTTAAGGTGTCACACCCTATGCGTGAGTGCGATCGCCCCGACTAAACGATCGTTCACATGTATTCTCTTTTTCTTGTTTCTCCAAATATGTACTTTGAAAATCCTAATATATCCAACACACTCCTGCCATTTCATTAACATAGTTGATGGCAACGGAACATCAAAGGAAATGGCGTTGCTCCTAATCTTGTTCTCCTTGAATCAATGATCTGAAATCCAAGAACTTTTGTCCCTGTAGAGGTTTGCTCATGAAATCTCCCCACATCTTTTCAGTCGGACAATATTCAATAGTCACATTTCCTTTCTTGACTTGATCAGTCATAAAGAAATATCGAATGTTCAAAGCTCGGCTTCGCTTTCCAGCACTATCACGTCCATTCTTTTCCAATAGAATAGAACTTTTGTTATCCTGGTATAGGATGTTCTTTTCAACAGGATAACCTTGTGCTTCCACAAACAATTTTGTCCACAATATCTGTGTCGCAGCATCATCGACACCAATCAATTCGGCTTCTGTCGAACTTTGACTGTTCAACTTCTGCTTCTTAGAGATTATCTGTAATCCTCCTTCACCCATAGTCAATACACCTCCAGTGTGACTTCTGAAATCTGGATGAACTGCAAATGATGCATCAATATACCATTTGAAAGTTCGTAAATCTTTTGCACTCAACGTCAGGTGCATTCCCTTTGTTCCATTCAGATAATACATCAGCTTCACTAGCTTCTTCCAATCAGTTTCATTTGGTTTCTGTACTCTTGTAGAAAGTACTGAAATAGTTGGAGCAATATCCAATCTTGCTCTCTTACTCAGAAATTATCCTTTGGCAATGAATGTATGAAAAGTTTCATGTTTTTCATCATCCAATTTTTCTCCTTTTCCGATTGATAGCAAATCATTCCTTTCCGGTGTCTTACACCCTTTATTTTCCTTGAACTTCACAGGAAATTCATTCAACATTTGATTAACATAGTCATCCATTTGGACTTTGATTTTCCCCCTTTTACTGAAATCTAGGGTCATTCGTGAATTTTTCCTTGCTTAGATTTGACTGGTTTGATTGAACCATACTTTTGATTCATCCATTCACAAAAATCATCATTCACTTTTGGACCAATGTGGCTTGATAATAGATCGTCCACATGAAATCAAATAGTTTGTTGTTTGCCGTTCACAATCTTGTTGGCAATACATCCATCGTATGAATTAAAAATAAAACCATGTTTCTCCATGTCTCCTCTCAACTTTTTGTACCAGAGCATAGAGGCCTCTAACATCCCATAGATGGCTTGCAATACTCTCACATGAATGGTTTTCCTTGGACTGAATATGTCCTCTTTATTCACTTCATCATTTTCACAATTATCATTGTCACTTGATTTGTCCGAATTATTGTCAGATTCATCATTTTCATTCTCATTTTCATCCAAATTTGCCACAAATTCGCGAACATCATTGACTTGAGTTTCACATTCTTTGATTTCATCTTGAATTTGATCAATTAAATCGTCATTTTCCTCATATGTTTTGCGTGTTTCCTCGTGTTCTTCATTGTTAAGTGATTTGACATCTTCCTTGTCTTTTTGAATGTCTTCTTCAATTTCTTGAATCTTTTCATTTAAATCCTCATCATTCTGATATTTGTCATTTGGATTGGGATCTTGATCGGAATTTTTGTCATCATTTCTCCGTCTCAATCGTTGATAAATACTTGCAACACTCCTGTCTTCTGTCTGTTCTTCAACAGTTTTGGTGTGTTCATCATCATAAGTTTCAATAAATTCTTCCGCTTCTTCAAGTAAAGCATCAATTTCATCTTGATCAATCTTTTCATTACAAATATTCTCATTGCTTTGTCTGTATTCATTTTTGTGTGGAATATATGTATCATCCTACACTTCATCTGGGTCCACTCCTGTGAGCAAATCACCATCCAATATGATTTCACCATTCTTCCAATGATAAGTACGCAAATCACGAACGCCTTTGTCGTGTGCCATTTGTTCCACAATTTTGATCACTTGTTTGGTGATTGGAAGTGCCGTTACATACAGTCTTATTACTGCCTTTTTTGTATTAAGATCAAGTAACATATGTCCCGCTTGTATGCTGTCATAAATACCATCAATTGTTCTTGATCGTTGACTGTTGTTGGTCGTGTGACCATATCCTTGTACAAAGGATCCAATTTCAGCAACACATTCTTTTGAAAAATCCACCGGTTTTTGTCTAAAAATCATATGTGGACTGTAATATTTTGAAATTCCCTCCTTTGCAGGATAAAAGTTAATAACCTTTGTCACATGCTTGAGTAAAGCAATAGTCAAAACCTTGGGAATTGCCTTGAACACCATTTGATGATAGTGTGCTCGGAATAATCCTTTCAATGTTTGATTGCTGCGCTCAATAGTTGGTTCGTGTTCGCCAGGCGCGGCATAATTCATGGTCACATTCATGTTATCTTTCATGTCATCAAATACCGGCTTGAATTTCTTATCGCAATAAATAGTTTTGATTCAAAATTCCGCATGATTATATATGCGTAAAATTTTGTCAATCCACTTGTGAATAACATCTTTTGTCCGATCTTTCAGTTCAGTACAGAATCGGAATTTGATCGCTTTGTCAATACTGACAAAAAACGTGACATTGTTGATAAACATAATGTCGATGCATAAATCCAGGTTTGAATTGTGTTTCAGGAGTTCCTTGGGCATTTCGATCCAATCGTCAACCACCGCCTTTGGTGTTGGTTGCTTTTGTTTGCCCTTAATTGTTGAAACGCTTGGTCCATATATCTTTTCAGAGATATTAACATCTTGCTCCGTAATTGGACAATTCTTGAAAATTTCCCCAAATTGCCAACTTGAATAGTTCTGCACCAAGTGCTCCCATCATATGATAGCCACTCCATGCAACATTTGCTCGTTTCACTTGTTGTTTGTGAAACCCTCTTTGTTCTTCTCCACACTCTGTAGAGCACAGTACCCTTGCACATCATTATTATCAAGTCCATGTGCATGGTCATGAAACATTGTTGTTACCATAGCAGGTTTGTTAACCAAAGTATATAATCCATTGCGATGTCCAAATTGCCATGTAGTCCCATTTCTAGTCACAAAGAAGCTGTTCTCTCTCTTTGTTTCCATAAATACATCAAATCCATCTTTTACCATATTCGACAAGCTGTTGACGTTATTGCTAGCTCTTGTGTCAAGCTTACAAACAGAGTCAAATACGTTATCAATTCCTTCTTGATAAAGTCTTCTTCCCTCGACATTAGAGGCATAATGGAATCCTCCATGAATTCCTTGTAGACTTCCTTCTTTAAAGTCATGTTCATTGGTTTGCAAATGAAAAGTAGATCCACTGTCCAAGTGGATATCATGATAGTTGTTGAGTTGGAATAACATTATTCCTTGTGGTCTTGTATCATCATTCGTATGTCCTCGTTGAATAAGTTGTCCTCCATGGGATCCATTGTTGCAACGTCCATAGTTCCATTGAGTATTTGAATCACCCGATCCATTATCATCATGCGTTACATTTTTGTCACGTTGCATATTCTGTCGATTACCACAACCATTCGCGTCCGAATAATCCCTATATTTGTCCGGGTTTTTCCATTTTTCCCACGGCTTCAATTTGTCCACACATTGAGGTGCGACATGATCTTTTGATCCGAACACAAAACACGCTCAAGTTTGTTGTTGAGAAAACTGAGCTTTATCATTTTGATTGTTGTTTGGCTTGTTTTGTTTACCTTGTCCATTCAAATTTCCTCCATTCAAATTCTTCTTCCTATTATCGTGTTTGTGTTGGTTCAAAACATCAGCAGCATTTTCCAAAGTAGTTGGAAATGTACAAAGCTGTTTGAAATCCAGATGCTTCAATGTGTACTGCATTGTCATTCCATCAATTCTTGATTGATACTTGGCTCTATCGGAATTATACAGAAATCCGTTGGCCATGAATCTTTCCCATGGTTCCTTTTTATGTTGCAATTGTTCAGCATTGCTTCCCAATAAATCATATTCCTGACTCTTCTCAGTAAATTTGTCCAAAAAATCATCACCGAGCAAAGCTTGCAATGCCTTCGCCCTTTCTTCAAATCATTTACAAAAACTCGCAATGTTTTCCTTCTCCTTTTGATGGCAATTAATCAGATTGCTCATTGTCTTCCACAGACCAAAATATTCCCATTCTGTATCAACAGTAGTCGTCATAAATTTCTTGATCCGCATCAATAACTCCACAGGATCATTGAACAGTTTGTTATCAAAGTCAGCTTCTCGCTCAAGCTTGTCCACCATGTGATCGGTGCACATCTTCATAATCATTCCATAGACATTGCGTTTATTGTTATCAAACGCGTTCTTCCTGGCCTTCCAATCCTTTCGATCAGCCAAATAGTTAGTTCTTCTTTCTTCATTCTTGATCTCCTTATCAGGATTGCTGTCATTAGTCACCAATACCAATGTTGGTTTCACACTTTCAATATCGAACAGACTCAAGGTTCGTACACTCTGGATCATGTCATCAATATGATCCATCTTCATCGTTGATATTTTAATCACCAATGTCTTCTTCACTTCATCAAAGCTAAATTCGGGAATGTTTCCTCTAGTCAGAGGATGAAACTTCTTCTCTTTCTGGCTACCATTGCCACTCTTATTTCCATTGTATTGACCATTACCTCGGCCTTGCTGCGATCTTCCTCGTCCAGCATTTCTTCCATTGGAACCACATCCAGTATTTTGAAAATCGTCCACTCATCATGAGCAAGTTCCTATTCTTTCAAGTCGTAGGAATATATCGACTCCCAATTCAATTCAGTGACTTTTTATAATATATGTTAGAAGTAAGCGATCCACTGCCGCCTGCAATCTACCTGTTCAATTGACTGCGATTTAGCTGTCCAGGTATTGTTGCCTTCTAAGTATATGAATTTACAGTATATAGAAGTATATAGATCTATCAGAGATCCTACTTTATCAACCAATTCACTTGTTGCTTGCAATATATTATAAAAAATGAGAACAGTCTGTCAACTTTTGACTTTGACTCTTTCTTCTCCAGCTCAGTGGAAATTCTCAAAATTCTCTCTATGTCAGCCTGACATGCTACAAGTTCAATCTGTTTATCCGTTCATCTTCCACAGTAGTCTGTACTTTGATTAGTATCCAAGTTTGGTTCTTGTTTGAATCTTGCTTTCTTACATCATCAATATGATGATCTCCATAGAAATTAATTGTCTTTTCTGACTTGCCATGCGCAATATTTTTAGTCGCATCAGTCTTCATTTTTAGTCGTATCAGTCGACATCATTTCTCTATCGTTCACATGAATTCTCTTTTTCTCGTTTCTCCAAATATGTACTTAAAAAATCCTAATATATCCAACAGCCTTGACTTGTCTTGGAGTGAATCCTTCCTTGTTCTTTTGAACGGTTGCCATCTTGGAGGTCATCTCGAGTCCAGCATATCCATTCTGTTTGTTTGAAGAAAGTTTGACATGGGGTTGATGATTTGAGTTGCTTAACTGGCAACGGTACATTGCACATGCCTTTTTGGCACCTGGTTCAACATTTGCTCCAAGTTGCTCCAACACATACACACCCTTACAATTCACAAATTGCATCTTTTTGTTTTTATCACAATGCACAATAAAAGCATTGTCAGCATCAGTATCCAAAGTAATGCGGTATCCCACAGCAATCATCTCGCGCATAGCAAGTACATTGGCAATTCCATCTTCATCGTGATAAACTGGAGGTGGAAATCTTCCTAGAAAACCTTCTTTGTCAAGAACTCTGCTGCCCACGTAAGTGTGCATTTCAAGTTCTTTCTCAGCATGACGGAGTCCACACATGAGCTCACCATTACAAAATGGTGGTGTTTGTACAACCACTGTCCATGATGACATGATCATACAACCCAAATGGATCTCTTTCCTTTCTTCGGCTTTGAATAAACTGCAGACCTCGATCTGCTTCAGTAGCAAGATCAGGCAAATCTTCATCTTCACTAGCATAGTGCCAGTCGGCTTGAAGTTTGACATTTGTCGTACCAGCAGGACATGGAATAAGATAGACATCATTGCCATTCTCATCCTTTCCCTTGATAGCATCGTGAAAGACATTTGACGTATCAAAATATCCAGTTTTCACAGCTTGCGGAGTTCGAGCTTGAGTTGCATCAAATCCTTGGCGCACTTGAGCACCACTGAAGTTGAGTTGGAATCTGCATGAGCTGCATTCCAGAAGGAACTTGCATCATTTGATTACCTGTAGTACCAGCAAGTCGCAAAGGTGTGTTAACGCTTCCCACAACACTTGATGCTCCACTTGTGGATGCTGAAGCTCCAGGAACTATGGCTGGAACAGTAGCTGGGATAGTTGCTCCAATCTGATTAAGATTGAACTTCTTCCCATAATTGACATATTGATCCTGATTCTTCCATTGGGTCTTTGGTAACAGTCTGTCTGGGCATTTTGGAGACATATGGTCTTTGTTGCCACACACATAACATGCTGCCTTCTTTCCATCCTCTGGTTTCCCCTTTCCTTTTCCTTTACCTTTACCTTTACTAGGTTGGTCTTTTCCTTGGTAGAGGCTCGCTCCCGGATTTTAATCACTTCCATGTGAATCTTCAACATATCTTGTGCTTTGCTGACCTTCTTTGGATAATAATCCACTTCTCTGCAATAGTTTGTCTGAAGATCCAGCATCAGAGGAGCTGTTCTCGTTCGATTGCTGTTGCATAGAAATCCTGTTGCAAGAACGGCTTCAAAGATATCATCCTTGAACTTGTTTTGAGCAGCAGTATCAGTGCTAGCAATAGCAAATACGCTTTCATCTTGACTGCAAAATTTCGGAACCAGGCCATGCCATATAGATCTTGCAGGACTTCAGCCTGTCTCAAGAATCGTTCCTTGAAATGCATCAAGTTTTTGGTTGTTCCTTGCTTCATAGCAAAGAACTTTTGATTTGCTTCCCAGAAATCCAAGAAATCATATTCAGCATCAGCACTCTTCTTCATGAATCGTTCAATACGTTTCAAGAGTTTGATCGGATCTTCAACAGTAGTCCTGAAATCGGCTTCACCTCGAAGCTTGATATCCATCGCCTTTGTCGCAAACTTCAGCATGATGTTTGATTTGACGGTTCTCTTGTTTGTCTCAAAGTAGGCTGATCTTTGCATGTTCTCGTCGAGCTTTGCAGAATAGAGAATCTTGTTTTGGGCCATCTCTGTTTCTCTTGCAACAGCTTCAGTTTGAGTTGGAGCGTTCAATCTTGGAGCGATTGCATTGAAGTTGATCGACTTTCCATCTTGAATTGATTTCACCATGTCTTCGGAACATTTCATTCCAGAAGCTTGGATATAGTCAATCACTCTTTCTTTGGCATCTTCGTATGACGATCTTGCCTTTCCATTGTTTTCATCTTTTGTTGAAAATAGATTTTTCACAATTGTTGAACTCAAATTGCTCTTGACTTTCTGAGGAGTCACACGTCCTTTTCCACCACCGGATGAAGAACGTCCCATTGTCAACGAATCACTCACTCCTTTGTAGATAAGGCAGTGCTGTTCTTGACGAAAATTTGTTTTGTTGCCTTTTGTGATTGAATGTTAGAATAAAGCAAAATGTGCTCTATTGTGAGTGCCTTTAGCGCTTAGAACAAACTCTCTGCAATCTAAATTTGTAATTGACTGTACAACACTTTCACGACAATAGTTCTCCTGTGTCTAGGTATACTTTGAGTGAAATTGTTCCTATTTGATTAATATTTGGCTTGAATTGATGATTCAATCACAAAAGTAAGTTCAACCATTTTCCCTTGGAAAATCCCTTGTTTACAGAACTTGATTTGACCTCTACGACAATTCTGTGTTGAATGCAGTACTTTGGGACATCTTGTATTATTATTCCCTACTGCATTGTACACAACACCGATATCTCACTTGTATAGGGTCATTCCTTTTTTGTGTGGATGTATATTGTTTGACAGACTTGCGTCTGGCATACTGCGTCAAATCCCAACATCACGATCAAAGTCCGATAGTACGTGTCAAAAACTTTGTACTTGAATAGTTTCTTTTTGGAACATAAAAACTCATATTTTGTCATATCCCAACAAGCTTTAACGAGCACACCATTTAGCGTGCTTTTGATTGCGTCCACTGTGTCGAAAACCACAATTTGGATGTGAAAAAATGGCAGGTATGATAAATATGTGCGGATTTTTTTGTGTGAGCAACAGTAGAGATTCTACGCACGTCGCTTACAAATCTCACTTTCCGGATCAAAAATATATTTGAAATGGTCATAACAACAAATAACGGACATAATGACCAACAGTTATTTTGGAAGTTGTGAACTTTGGAAATTTTGTCTTTTCATTTGCGTCTTTGTCTTTTCATTTGCGTCAACATCAACATGGGCCGTCCGAAAGGAAGTAAGAACAAAAAATGCAATAAAAAGGCTGGAGGCGACCAGAAGTCAAAGAAATTTCAAACTGCAAAGGAGGAGAAAGCTAAGAGAAGCCATGAGTACTTCCTCTCATGGCAACATCAAAATGATTCATCCTCTGTGAAGTCACCACACCCTATGGAGGAAGCAATTTTCAAGATTTCAAAAGAACTGATGGCAGAGGTTTTTGACCATTTGTCAAAACCAAAAGGGAAATTTGTCCAAGGCACTGTTGATTTTACAAGTGGGAATGCTTGGGAAGTGAAATATGATGAGGACAATGACGGGTCTGCAAATGGAATTGGGGACTACAGAATTGGTGCATCAAGTGATGATGACAAATCATCAGCTTCATCGACAAGGTATTGCCAGTCGTACACACCAAGCCAAGGGATGCCTTTGTACAACTACTTAATGGAAGTACAAGGCAAAATTGTTGATGACAAAAACTGTAAACAACAAAAGTTCATCCATCCAAGTAAATCACCACTGGCATCCGGTCTGGGGAAATCTCCCAATCCAAGCAACTTCTACAAAGATGTTGTGGTTTGAGTATGGATACCAGATGCACAGTTCAAGCGCCTGTACTACAAATACAAGTGCCCAAGTTGCCAATCCAATTCAATCAACACAAAACATCAGGGAAGTTGGCGCCCTACAATTGCAAATGGGGATATCCATTGGGTCTTTTTTTCTTGATGTCGATGCTCAAATAAGGCTTGTAAGAATAAGACTTTTTCTACAATCAGCCAAGAGTTTTTAAATGATCTACCTTCATGCATTTTGGATGAATTTGAATAACTGTTTCCACCAAAAGGCGTAGGCATTTTGACTGACATGCTACGATCACTATCAATTCAAACCAGCTCTCCTTGGGGGAGGGGAAATCGGTATACTCTGAGTTTTTTGTTTGGGCATAAAATCGCATGTTGAATATTTTACTCAATACGTATATCCATATGTTCTTTGTCTCTGTAATTTATTTAGGAAAAACGCGCGCAGACATAGCACAGCTCAGTCGTACGTGTGCTTTTATGTGCACTTCACATCTCTGCTGGCACGTGCATAACGAATCATCGCCCGAACAAACAACATGACAAACAACATCACACCAGGACAAATATCACATTTGCTATTCCATTCTTTGATCTGTGTGGTTTCAATCCAGTTGGAAAATTGAACTCCTTTGTGGCTCTTCCCATCAGTAGTAATGGCATATCCAAATTCCTCAGAGACAGGCTCCTCCATTTACTTCCGCAAAGTCTAGCTTTTTACACTTCTGTCTCTCATACTTTCATTGCGCGAAGTGACAAACAGTGTGTAGCTATGAAAGTTTTGATTTTGATGTTCCAATTCCTTGCCTTTTACTAGGTTGGAGTCTTGTTGCGGTGAAGTGCTATAAATGTCAGGACAGTCTACAGGTAGGATATCCACTGCTACCAATGGATCTACTCCATCCCATTGCAACTGGAGTGCTAGTACAATGAAAAGACTGCTTTGGTGGAATCCCTTATCCTTTACTGCGGATCAACATCAACTTGGGCATACAAAAGACATTTCAAGTCAGCCATCAAGTGTTTTTGAGAATACGACAACAAAGAAAGCTTTGATTTGACCGTGACTTGATCCTAGATCAATCAAATTCTTCCCTACAAACAAAACCAACCGTCTGTAATGAAGATGATGAAGACAACAACAACAACCCTCTGCTACACACCACTACAGACCCTGACTTAAGTTATGGACATTTGAACTGCCTCCGGCCATCAGCAGCATCATCATGGCTGTCATCACCTGCAGAATCATCAGCTTTGTTTTGATCAAACTCCACACGCTCTCTATCAATTTTGTTCCACATGCTCTGTTTACTTTGTTTGCGCCTGACGGCAATCAATTTGTCCTATCGTTGTCATTCTGATCTGTTATCAAATACATTACAGTCTCATCTTCAAGATTGTCTGTGATTGTCTGTCTGTTTCATTCAAGAACCCAAAGCAATACTAGCTATATGCATTTGTTGCATTCATCCGATAGTGGACAGAAACATGAAAACCAGCACACAAGTACCCTGCCATTGTAGTATCATTGATGGGCACAGTGTGATGAGCGGTTTGTGGAAATTGATGGCTGTGTTTTGCAAGCCACCAAAACCATTATGGTAGGCTTACCACCTTTTTTGAGGACTGCATCCTCTTTCAAAAGATGCTGAGCAACTGTTGTTTCATAGTACCATGAAGGACTAGAAGTAAATTTGACATTGATCCACTAGTAAATAAGGACAATGATTCATAGTAGCTAGTACTAGTAGCTAGCCATACTTATATTTAAGACCAGGAGTAGGACAACCGGACGGCTGGTGAGCCCAACGTGTTGTACCCAGATGATTGTAATCTAGAAATATTGCATGGTTACTACTTGTAGGCTAAGACATAAGAACATGAGTTGTAAGATTTCATGCTGCTGGGCCACTGGTAGGCTCGAATGTAGTACCAGAAGTGCATTTGATGTTAGTCCGCTAGTAGTACAAACTCATGATTCATATCTAGTAGTAGGCAAAGATATAGGAACAGATGTTTGACCAAAAGCAGATCCAAAAGTATGTCCTGACCATGGTAGTCTACTAGCTACTAGGTCCAGAGTTCTTGAGACCAGAAGTTGGACCAGCTGTTGATTCCAAGAAGTAAGTCTAGGGTATTTTACTAGTAAGAATTTATATTGGGCCATTGACTAGTAGGTTCATGTATAGGACAAGAACTTATGTTCGATGTTGGACGGCAAGTAACAGCTGCTGACGACGCATGGCTAGTAGGCTACAATGGCCATGTAAAATCGCCGTACCGGTATGTTGGACCAAGAAAAGTAGATCCAAAAGTAGGTTCAGATCATGGTAATCTAGTAGTAAGATTTCATGTTGAGCCACTGGTACTAGCCTCACAAGTAGGACCGGAAGTACAGTTCAATATTTGTTGATCAGAAAAGTACAAATGGATGACTCATATCTAGTAATGGGCTAAAGTGTATTTTTAAGAACGGATCATGTTTTACCAGAAGTCAATTTAAAAGTAGGTCCTGGTCATGGTAATCTAATAGGACCAGATATTGGGCCCTTAAATTGGAAGTACGCCAATGGTAGCCAGCTAGTTTCAGAAGCTAAGATGTATGACCAGAGGTTTGACCGCCAAGGGTAGATCAGGAAGTATGTTGCAATCTTGGTAATTTAGTACTAGACTTTGAGGTTGGGCAATGGGCGATATCCAAGCTTCATACTAGTCAGTACTCAAAATATGGTCAATGTTGGTTGGCTAGAACACTGGGGCAATCTCTACTTAGATCAAGACAAGTCTATGGGCACCATGCACAATGGCATTGGAAGACTAGGCTAATGTTGCTTTCATGCATGTCATGTAGTGAGAGTAGACAGCATAACAATGGACCTGGATCGCTTTCTTCCTAGCAGTAGCTTGACCTTTTGGGCAACCAGATGCATATGCATGGATACCATTTGCAGACTAACACAGCAAAGGTTCAAGAAAGTGAACAATGCCTGGGGTCGGTTGCTACTCAAAGTAGCTACAATCCAGAAGAACTTGCAGTAGCATCAACAATAAATGCTGGTTCCACGGAATCAAAAATGGTGGTGATGACACATGAGGAAAAGAAAAGGAGGATGGTAGAGTTGCATTCTGCAGCAACAATGTTTTGTTGCAATGCTTCAATTTTTGCCGTACATTCTCAGGAAGAAATGCCTGAGAAAACGAAGTTTTTCTGTTTGGGGTCTTAGAGGACAATAACAAATACAGCAGCATTGAGAGAGACATTAAGATAAGTCATGGTCCTGACTTAATGGAAGAAGTAGTTTTGTGCAACATGAGGCTAGTAGAAGCCATTTGCGGCTGCATCGCCCCGTCCTGCAGCCACATGGCTTCTCGCAAGCATTAGGGATTTGTTGCCAAAGTAAATGGTCATATCTTGCTGTTCTAGGATATTTGTCAATGTCATGTCTGGAAAGATCCGCTGTTCAAGAGCTTCCAGAATATCCTGAACGGTGACGGAACAGCTGAGCACTTCGATGTTTGGCAGCGTGATGTCCCCAGCGTACTCCAAAGGAAGAGACCGCATGGCCCGGGCCAGACTGGGCCAGTCGGTTTCCGACTCCGCCTCTGGGGTGACCGTGAGTTTCTCGCGCCACCTCTTGCGGAGGGCGGGAAGCGCCACCAGCTCTTGGATGTGGTCTGGGTCCAATCGAGACTGCTTAACGCCGCCGATGTAGAGAGCGGCCAGCTCAGTAAAGAAGCGAGCATTGGATGCAATCAGTTGGTTAGAAGCCTCCAACTGATGGCGGTATGCCACTGCCCAATTATCCACTTCAACATTCCTTTTGGACCACCAAGACAGGGACAAAAAGGACGTAGCACGGTCAAGGTGACCATACACATGACTAGGCTCCCACGATGCTTTGGAGCGCGCAAGGGCCTCGCGGAGGGAAGAGACCAGGTCAAACTGCGCCTGGTGAGGGGAAACTCGATTATCACCAAAGGTATTGAGAAGAGCAGAAAACCCATCACACGCTATCCTGACGCGGGGTTTAGATTGGAGCGTAGGCGCCCACTGTTGGAGCAACCAGTCAACAACCATGATGCCTGCAAGCAAGCCGATCATTTCACTCCGATAGGCGCTTTGATCCTGGGGCAATCCGGGAGTCTGGCACCGAACAATGACGCGGTCCTTCTCCCCTTTTTGTGGGAGTTTGGACGGCTGCCGTTCCCAAGGCTCGCTTGTAGGATCCGTCGCTTATCACGCAAAGATGACCAGAGAGTAAGGCCTCCACCAGCCGTCCTTCATCACCGACAATCTCAAGTTCCTCAGGGGTCCATCCAAAGTACTCGTCAACTGCTGCTGATGCTGCTTCCCATGCAGTGAATAATGACGGTTGGGGAACTGGGCGCGGAGACTGATGCTCCTGGCCCACCCCCAAAATCACAAACTCCTCTAACCCATGCAGTGGCTGAGTTGTCACTCGGCATACATCATCTGGGAGTGGTTGTCAAGTGGAAAAAGGAACTGCGGCACGCCGAAAGTCGTTGTGCACGCAACGACAATCAACTCCGGGGTGCTGGGAAGAACTGCGGGAAGTTGTACTCACGAATGTACAAAATCCAGAACAAGCTTCAGTCAATTAAAAAAAAAAAACCGATCTGTGTGCCGCTGCCTGCTATTAGGGACGAGAACCACCTCGTTTAATTGCAGTACAGCCGGGCAATGGACCTCACGAGTTGTCTTTGTGGTGGATTTCTCAACACCGGAAGCAAAAGACAACAAGTGGGGGAAGCACGGGTTTGGCGGATGCCCAGCGCTTAACTCCTTTCGATTTCCAATAGGGCTGGAACACCAAAATATAGAACCACCAAAGAAATCAATACCCTTTTTTTTGCTGTTGGGTCTTTGCGTAGTCGTCGACAGTGATGGGTGGAGGCCCAATCAGAGTTTAGTCGACTTTGAACACGGCAGCTATAAAACCTTTGAGATTGATGAACCAGAGGAAAGAGGTAAAACTCTGGTCTTTGACTGTAGATGTCAGAAAGGACTGGGCCAGGAGATCGCAAGTGTGGGTGTTGCGATAGGCCAAAATGCCGATGAAGTGGCAAAAGCTGGTAATTGTGCTTCTGAAGGAAGCAGAGGTCGTTTTTCTGTGGAAAAAACGGCGGCAGTTAGCTGATGGCGTAACTGCGACTGTTAATCTGACAGAATATAATAATTCTTGGGGGAAAGCGTCTCAAGTCTAACAAGAAGATAAAATCAATTCAAGGTAAACAAAACACAACGCGATGAGCCAATTGGGAATTGGCGAACAGTTGATGCGCTTGGTGCGCAAAGTTCCAACTGTTCTCATCCGACGACACGTCATCATATCTATTTTACTACTAATTACTATGACCCATAAGACTGCTAACATACAAATCGTATTGGTCCAAGTCATGAAACTCGTTCTTGATACAATTCTGTCAAGAAACCCCAGAGCAGTTTCTCTTGCCGCCTCTGGTGACAAAAGGAAGGTATTGGAGAGAGAAGAAAACTTCATTTTGTTTTTTTGTCGATGATTTATTTTACTTTTTGTGAGATTTTAAGCAAGCCTGTTTTGCCAAATCGAAAATCATGTGATTGTGAATATCATCCCCCAAAATTGGAGTTCATTTAACAGAACATCCGCCAGTCACGGAAAGACGAGTCTTGTGAAAAAACCAACTTTCGACCTTAGCCTATTTTTAATATATGACCATTTTCATCATAACAATCAATCAGACGTCTTCCTATGACCCTTTGGACCCACTATATAGGGTCAATTGCTTGGTATGTACCTAGGTTCGATCAGTGGCACAAGAATAGGCTATTGGTAGCACTTGGATGCTAAAACGTGACTTTTGTGCCATTTTGTGTGGTCTTATTAGAGGACGGCAACGGGGATTGGTGAGCTACAAACCTGCGGCTAGCTCAAAAGTGTCCTATTGGTGATATAGACGGGCTATGGGGACCTTCACACTAGGCTAGAGGGGCATGCCAACTCGAACCGATGCAATGTATTTTCAATGAATGTTGATTCTGCATCCAACACAAAACACCTCCTTCTAGTATTGCAAATGGGATGATAGTTATCAACATTATAAGTTCGTCCTCTATTAGTTTGTAGCACCGATGGTAGTGTTGCTGAAGGGATTGTACAAAGACATGGAAGTTATCAGGATGCATCTGCATCGAGCCTTTTTCTTGAACTCTGAGGCCAAAATTCTCCATTGATGCAAATCTGACCTCCTGTATTGCTTCCACCTATGGACACAAATCTATTTGGTCTGACAGTCTCTATACGAGCATAAGAGATCATCATCACCTATCTTGTTGCCATGATAATTGTTCTTCAATAAGACCCAGACAAAAGTGGCATGAAATTTTTTTTATTGCTCCCAAACAAAGCCACCACTGTTTGAGTTGGCATGCTCCTCTAGCCTAGTGTGAAAGTCCCCATAGCCCGTTTATATCACCAATAGGACACTTTTGAGCTAGCCGCAGGTTTGTAGCTCACCAATCCCCATTGCCGTCCTCTAATAAGACCAAACAAAATGGCACAAAAGTCACTTTTTAGCATCCAAGTGCTACCAATAGCCTATTCTTGTGCCACTGATCGAACCTAGGTACATACCAAGCAATTGACCCTATAGGAAGACTTCTGATTGGGTTTATGATGAAAATGGTCATATATTAAAAATGGGCTAAGGTCGAAAGTTGGTGTTTTCACCATTTCTCCACCTTTCATTTTGCCGTGACTGGAGGATGTTCTGTTAAAAACAAACTTTAGACATATATGAGTAAAAACCGCTTTTTGGTCGCTTCTCCTCAATTCCCTCAAAGTCCTCATTTTACTCAAAGGACTTTGAGTAAATTGAGGAGAAGCGACCAAAGTCCTCACTTTTGGTGGCTTCTCCTTGCTTTTGCCTTAGCCAATCAGATTTTTCCATATTTTTGTTTGTTTATTAAGTATGAGTTGCTCTTTTTCCTCCATGCGATCACAAATGACTTATGAGGGTCTTTTGGTTTTCCAACAATTACAAAAACCCTCGTTCTGCTGGGTGTTCCAGAGAACTGCTGACTCAGTTCTCTAAATTAATGGCATGTAACAGTTTACGCACGTGTGATGCATGCAGCACACAGGCTACACTTCAACCTGGGAATCCTATAGGTCGAGTCACAAGTCCCAATCCTGTTAGGATTCTGTCACTATGATCAAAGCTTGTCATATGATCATATCATTATCATATCATTATCATATCATTTCGTATCAAAGAAGGCGCCCTTACATCCACAGTTCATGTGAGAGGTGGTTCTTGACGCATTGTGCAATTCAAACTCATCGCATGCTAGACTCGACAAAATGGCACAAGAAGCCATGGATCCACCAATTTTTTAGAGTCGGACGCGATTACTACGCACGGGTCTTCCCCCCCCAGCACGGAGCCTGTTGGGATATGACGAAATATGAGTTTTTACGTTCCAAAAAGAAACTATTCAAGTACAAAGTTTTTGACATGTACGATCGGACTTTGATCGTGATGTCGGGATTTGACGCAAGTACTGTTGGACAATCTATATCCACACAAAAAGGGAATGACCCTATACAAGTGTGATATCAATATTGTGTACGATGCAGTAGGGAATAATACAAGATGTCCCAAAGTACTGCATCCAACACAGAATCCTCGTGGAAGTCCAATCAAGTTCTGTAAACAAGGGATTTTCCAAGGGAAAATTGTTGAACTTACTTTTGTGATTGAATCATCAATTCAAGCCAAACATTAATCAAATAGGAACAATTTCACTCAAAGTATACCTAGACACAGGAGAACTATTGTTGTGAAAGTGTTACAGTCTATTACAAATTTAGATTGCAGAGAGTTTGTTCTAAGCGCTAAAGGCACTAACGATAGAGCACATTTTGCTTCATTCTAACAGAGCCCCTCATAAATTAAAACGGCTTTTTGAAACCGATTGTTGGGATATGACGAAATTTGAGTTTTTGAGTTCCAAAAGGAAACTATTAAAGTACAAAGTTTTTGACACGTACGATCGGACTTTGATCGTGATGTTGGGATTCAATGCAAGTATGCCAGACGCAAGTCTGTCAAACAATATACATCCACACAAAAAAGGAATGACCCTATACAAGTGAGATATCGGTGTTGTGTACAATGCAGTAGGGAATAATAATACAAGATGTCCCAAAGTACTGCATTCAACACAGAATTGTCGTAGAGGTCAAATCAAGTTCTGTAAACAAGGGATTTTCCAAGGGAAAATGGTTGAACTTACTTTTGTGATTGAATCATCAATTCAAGCCAAATATTAATCAAATAGGAACAATTTCACTCAAAGTATACCTAGACACAGGAGAACTATTGTCGTGAAAGTGTTGTACAATCGATTACAAATTTAGATTGCAGAGAGTTTGTTCTGAGCGCTAAAGGCACTCACAATAGAGCACATTTTGCTTTATTCTAACATTCAATCACAAAAGGCAACAAAACAAATTTACGTCAAGAACAGCACTGCCTTATCTACAAAGGAGTGAGTGATTCGTTGACGATGGGACGTTCTTCATCCGGTGGTGGAAGAGGACGTGTGACTCCTCAGAAAGTCAAGAGCAATTCGAGTTCAACAGTTGTGAAACATCTATTTTCAACAAAAGATGAAAACGATGGAAAGGCAAGATTGTCGTACGAAGATGCCAAAGAAAGAGTGATTGACTATATCCAAGCTTCTGGAATGAAATGTTCTGAAGACATGGTGAAATCAATTCGAGATGGAAAGTCGATCGACTTCAATGTGATCGCTCCAAGATTGATCGCTCCAACTCAAACTGAAGCTGTTGCAAGAGAAACAGAGATGGCCCAAAACAAGATTCTCTATTCTGCAAAGCTTGATGAGAACATGCAAAGATCAGCCTACTTTGAGACAAACAAGAGAACCGTCAAATCAAACATCATGCTGAAGTTTGTGACAAAGGCGATGGATATCAAGCTTTGAGGTGAAGCCGATATCACGACTACTGTTGAAGATCCGATCAAACTCTTGAAACGTATTGAACAATTCATGAAGAAGAGTGCTGATGCTGAATATGATTTCTTGGATTTCAAAAGTTCTTTGCTATGAAGCAAGGAACAACCAAAAACTTGATGCATTCCAAGGAACGATTCTTGAGACAGGCTGAAGTCCTGCAAGATCTATATGGCGTGGCCTGGTTCCGAGATTTTGCAGTCAAGATGAAAGCGTATTTGCTATTGCTAGCACTGATACTGCTGCTCAAAACAAGTTCAAGGATGATATCTTTGAAGCCGTTCTTGCAACAGGATTTCTGTGCAACTGCGATCGAGCGAGAACAGCTCCTCTGATGCTGGATCTTCAGACGAACTATGGCAGAGAAGTGGATTATTATCCAAAGACGGTCAGCAAAGCACAAGATATGTTGAAGATTCACATGGAAGTGATTAAAAATCCGGGAGTGAACCTGTACCAAGGAAAAGACCAACCCAGATTGAGGTCACAGAAGAGAAAGAGATCCATTTGGATTGTACAATCATGTCATCATGGACAGTGGTTGTACCAATATCACCATTTGTAATGATGAGCACATGCATGGACTCCGTCATGCTGAGAAGGAACTTGATATGCACACTTACGTGGGCAGCAGAGTTCTTGACAAAGAAGGTTTTCTAGGAAGATTTCCACCTCCAGTCTATCACAATGAAGATGGAATTGCCAATGTACTTGCTATGCGCGAGATGATTGCTGGGGGATACTGCATTACTATGGATACTGATGCTGACAATGCTTTTATTGTGCATTGTGATGGAAACCGAAAGATGCAATTTGTGAATTGTAAGGGTGTGTATGTGTTGGAGCAACTTGGAGCAAATGTCGAACCAGGTGCCAAAGAGACAAGTGCGATGTACCGTCGCCAGTTGAGCAACTTTTAAATAATCAACCCCATTTTGAACTTTCTTCAAACAAACAGAATGGATATGCTGGACTCGAGATGACCTCCAAGAAGGCAACCGTTTGAAAGAACAAGGAAGGATTCACTCCAAGACAAGTCAAGGATGCGATGGAAGCAAGAAGTGCAATGCACATACTCAATGCTCCAAGCACCAAAAGTCTGAAGTATGCGATCCAATCTGGTCTCATCAAGAACTGTCCTATCACCAAGGAAGCGATCAATCATGCCGAAGCAATCTTTGGACCTGACGCCTCTACATTGAAAGGCAAGTCAACAAGACCAACTCCAAAGAAGATGTACAGCGACTTTTTCAGTCCACCAGAGGAATTGTATCAGCACAATCGATCTACTACCGTCTGTATTGATCACATGGAGATCGAGAATGCTAAGTTTCTCACCTGCATTGATACCACTGTGCGTTATCGCTCATGTATTCCTGTGCAGAACCTGAAGACTGACCCTGTATTTGAAGCATTGGATAAGATATTCCGCCGCTACAACAAGGCAGGCTTTCAAGTCAAGATCATCAAGTGTGATCGGGCGTTCATTCCTCTCACGGATGATGTGCTAGACGATATGGGTGTTACTATTGACCCGACTGCAGCTGGAGACCACGAGCCTACCGCTGAGCGAAACAATAGGATGCTGAAAGAAAGAGTCAGAGTAGCTCTTGCACGATTACCCTACAAAGTGGTCCCAAAAGTGATCACTGAATGTCTTGGACGTTGAGCCGCCGAGCTATGGAATGTCTTTCCCCAGAAAGACAGTATCTCATCACATTTCAGTCCGCAGCAACTCATTGATAATGTCAATATCAACTACAAGAGTGACATGGTTGCTGAACTTGGAGAATATGTTCATGCAATTGGGACGGATTCCAACAATTCAATGGAACCCTGAAGTATTGAAGCGATTTACATTGAACCTATGAAGGGACAACGTACTGGGCACCAAGTGCTCAACCTCAATACTAAGAAGATGATTTCCCGACCCAAGGTCGTTGTACTACCCGTTACCAATCAAGTAATCCAGCATGTTGAAGCCTGGACTGCTGCCAAAGGTGTTACTTCCATGAAGTTGTTTGATAAGAAGAGAGATTTGGAGACATTTCAAGATGGCAATCAAATTGCATGAGTGGATGACACAGAACAAGGTTACTTAGAAGAAGTCTTTGATCAGGACTATGAACCTGAAGATGAAGATGAACGTGATTTCAACCTACGTGGACAATTTGATGATATCGATGACTCCGAAAGAGAAGAGCTCTTGGCAGATGCAGACAATGATGTTGATGATATGCCAGAACTCACTGTCAGATTCCAAGGAGATGATGACTATGAATCAGATGAAGATTTGGGTGATGAAGGCGATGAAGAGGAAGAACCTATTGTGGCTGATTTGAATCACCATCAAGAAAATGTTGATAGAGGAACCGATGATATTGGGAGCCTCGTTACTGATCTGGAGGACTTACAAGAGCCGCCAAAAGAAGAGATTGTATTTGAGCCTGAAGAGCCTCAAGTAGCAAAAGTCACTTGATCTGGACAAACGTATGCGCAAGCTGCAATGTCTGGGCTGAACCTTTCTCAAGTTCCAAAGAAACCAAGAGAATGGCCTTGGAGCAGGAGTGGCAGTTCTGCCAATAAGAACAAGAATCAAGTTGCAACAAGACGCAATCATTGAGAGAGAGAATTGAAACCATTGAAGAACAAGTTAAAATCTGATATTTGTACCAAAGAAGGAAGTCGCAGTACTAAAGACAGTAAAGCTATCCTTGAAGCACAGCACAATCTATGTTTCCAACAGATTGGGAATATAGAAAAAATTATTTCAGAAACAAAACAACATGCATTCCGGCAGAACCAACCAGTCTGCCTTGCGTAGCGCTAGTACTGAATTTACGTAGAAAACTTCGAATATATCACTAAGCCAACCATTCAACACCGGCGCACCATGGGCAAATCTATCAACGCAAAGGTATCCTTGGCGATGACAAAAAAGTCGTGCGTGTCTAAGATGTATACGACCTCTGTGGCTAAAAAGTCAGTCAAGAAACGAGTGGAAATTGACCTACAACAGCCTAAAGACAGGGATCCCATCGATTCCAAGATGGTGTCTGAAACCCAAACTGAAGAGAAGCATGTTACCGACGACAATGAAGCGCAACGCATGGCTGATGAGATTGAGGCGAAACAAATCGCCGAACAAGAAGCTCACAGGAGTGGACATTACAACTGTATTGTTCCAAACCTGTCAGAGTGGTGGATGAAGAATTTATATTCAGGAGATGCTGTTGACGAAGCATTGGAACGCCATGACCGTATCCATACGGGTAATGCGCTTTTTATGGCGTGGGAAGAACGTTTTCCTGCCGCTTGGAACCAACCCTGCCTCCGGTATGACGATCCATTTAACGACAATACAGGGACAGCAACTTGTGAAGATCATTTTGCCCGCATTTTCACATCGATGAATTTGGATAATAGTCAATTGACACAGTACCTAATTGCCGCATTCAACACTGAAACGATGGAAATGAATCCGTCTGAAGTCTGAAGAAATCTAGTCTTTACGCATTTTGGCCATGCGGATTTCTTTACAAAATCCGTTCTCCTTTTTTGGTATTGATGAGTTTGAGGGCAAACCGGACGACAACCATTTCTTTTCAGGCGAAATGTCCAATCTACGGCTACGCTTGGAGCATCCCTTGGTGGGCTTTTGGTTAATTTGCTCCGAGTTGTTTGACTATTCTTGGATTAATGAGTTTTTGTTGGAGTATTACGACGACCCGCCATCCGCAATTGTCGACGCAATCAAACAAACAAGAAGTGGCAAGTCTATCAGCAAAGCTCCAAATCAAGAATCCGTGAAGGAACCGGATCCGCCTCCTATTCAAAAAATATACGATCCGATGTATTCCATTGACGAACCAGGCACGGATGTTCAACGCGATTCTGCCAGCTCCCCAGGGGACCAGGTGCAAAACTCAAATCGCTTTGCACTTCTCCAAAGTGACGATAACTTGTTTGACGGTAGTGGAATTCAAGAATTCGACGAGGTTGAAGTGGTGGCTTAAAAAATTAATCATCCCAAGGCGCCTGAATCGTCAGATGAAGATGAAGACACTGATGCTGACAACACTGACAACAGGGAGAATATTGTGGACAACGCAATGGAGGAAGACGATGATGACAAACGGGTCAATACAGCTGGGGCAAACCCGCACAATGAGGCCATGGACAACAACACTCTACCGTTGACTTCTCCTAAACTTATGGCAACACAAGACTAGCCGGTACAGGGACCCTTATGGAGCCCTCGGAAACAACTCCTTCTCGCGTTCAACGTCCCCCAACACTGGCCGAACGGATCTCGAACCTCATTCAGGTGAACATGGAAGGGATACCAGGCAAATGTCACATCTTTGAGACTACTTTCTCCGTGGACTATCAAGGGTTGGATTCAGGAACTGTGGCGGAGGCGCTCTTGTCGACAGTTCTGAATTCTATGGAGGAAGCCATCAACAATTCCCCTAATGAATTGAAGCTTCTTCCAATCTCTGATACCACATATAAGCAACCGAATCTTTGGATTTGAAACTCACCGGATTACGTCAATTGGGGAGAGGTGCTGGGTGCTACCCTTCTCCCTTGCAGTATGGAGAAATTGTGAAGATCGGATCATGCTCGTTTATTCCTGCAGAAGTCAACTTCTCAGCTTATGCAAAGGAACTGATGAGACCATTTGATTTTGAAGTACCAATTGGTATCAAGATGGACTGGGTTTCTATTCCGTACACAGGCCGAGCAAAGTACGATGAACGGTCCCCCGGAGTGACTAGTCCACATTGTTTCACTCGGAGGATTCATGCCAAGAGAGTTGACCGCACTTTGAGGTCAATTCTCCACCCAGCAACTGCAAAACCTGACTTTCCATTTGCAGCACCGGCCACCTACATCAGTGATTGGAAGTCGGCACAACAAGATTTGCTGAGTGTTAAGGCCTACGGTCCGGTGAAGAATGCGATCCTTACCTTGATCAGCAAGATACAGGATTACTACATTTTGACGGAGGTTCTTTATCCAGGCATCAATTTCACTGGGATGTTCAAGTTTGCTACTACAAGGTTGTACGGTTCTTGCACCCTGTTCAAACTACTCTTGTCCATCAAGGCTACTCCGGCCCAGGCTGATCAGGCTTCCACAGCTGCCAAAGACAGACCCCCAACAACTGCCGACGACAACTCATCTGAAGAGGAGGACGATGAATCCCAGGAGGGAGCGGGTTCTCTGTCCGGGCCATTCACGAAGGTGACAAAGAAGAAGGTGAAGAAGAAGAAGAAGAAGTCGCTCATTTCCGATAACCTAGAGAATCATTTTCTCAAAGATCTATCCCCGGTACAACGCAAGCTGGCTGAAGCCACCGACCACAAACTGAAGAACGATATTGATCGCCATAAGGCAGGACCACTCTTCCTGATGATCCTTCCTGGAGAAATGGAAGGCTCTTACATCTTTGTATGCCGCAAGAAGTACGGTCAGTTAGCTTGAAACGTGTTGAGAGGGATAGTTCCGTTCTTTATTCATCACCTGTGCGAACTTACCAATACGCAAGCTGATCGAGTCTTGGATAAATGGATTCCCAAATCAGAGATCCAGGCGACGCGTCGTAAGTGTTTGGTATGGTGCACCAACACACTACGCCCACCACTTGGCCATCGACTCGCAACCACCTGCTCAGAACAATGAGGTATCTCCCGATCAGTCCGAATTCACTACGCCACCAAAAAAGAGGAAAAGCAAGGATACTTCCACGACTAAGAGGCGCGTTGACAGGTCTAAGGCTGGTCTTAAGCCGCCCACTAAGTCCACTCGTACCAGCACGTCTGTTCACTTTCAGCAGCCGAAGCAGCGCTCTCGGAACACGTCTCATGTTCAGGTGGACACAACTCAGATGGAGGGTGATACTACTACAGCTGTGTCCCAGGACAAGAGCCTCTCATCTCTGACAGCGGCATCTCCGGGAGGTGTACACCCATTCTTTCTCCCTTCTCCATCTGGCAAATCCGGTACTAGCGGATCTGCTAAGTTGCCTTCTTCGGCCGACCGCGGAGCGCCTCGCTCCGCGGCAGGGCCATGAAAGGCCCCAAGTCGGCTGCCGCTAGGTCACGGCGTGCAGGCAGAAGATCTCGAATTAGTGGCCCGTCAAGTGTTGTTTCCCACGCTTCACTTGACGAATATTTGCGCTCTCTTCCACCAGGAGACTGCCTTGGCGATGACCATCGCTGTCGCTCTTCAGTAGCTACTCGCGTCACCTTCCAGAACGTCAACGGTGTTCCGGAGGAAGGCGACCATGTGAAACAGCGGCAGATCAACTCCTGGCTACAAGACAAGCAAGTGGGAATAGCGTTGTTGGCGGAGGCCAAAACGTTTTGGCCCTCTATCCCAGAGGGTCATGGGTGGAACGATAGGATGCGACAAGCTACAATGAAGGCAAAGCACAAAGGTTTTTATTCGGCTGTCGCTTATAATAAACAGCAGTCACAATCTTCAGCAACTACAGCCTTTCAATGGGGAGGATGCATTGCGACAGTACTTAGTCAGGTCTCGCACCGAGCTAAAGAATCAGGGAGCGATTCGACGGGGCTGGGACGGTGGGCTTATGTCCGTCTTCAAGGAAAAAAGCTGCAGGCGCAGGGGGTGATGATCACTCTGGCTTGGTGCTAGACGTAAACGAAGCGGTCCAACACCCGATTTCACGTGATCTAGTGGTTGTCTCGGCATATAGGCCAAAGAGAGAAGGTACGGGGGAATCGACCGTGTGGGCCCAACAACGTCTATACTTTAACTCTATAAAACGTAAGATTGATCCGCGCAAAGCATTGGTCGATGACCTGTGCAAGCAAATTCAAAAATGGAGGGACGAGGGTTGTGAAGTTTTGCTGGGGATCGATGCTAACGAAGACCTTTCGGTCAACTCCCCGGACTCCATACGACAGCGGTTTCGTGAGTGCGGAATGGAGGAAGCGATTTTGAAACGGCATCCCCCCACGGCGACCCACCAACGAAATCAAAGCAACGTTCCTATCGACGGAATCTTTACCACTTCAGGTGTTCCGGTTCTGGCTGGTGGCTACTACGCATTTGGTGAATTTGTTGAAGCAGACCACAGGGCACTATGGATCGATATTGACTTGAACACGGCTTTGGGCAATTTCACACCCCAGGGGTCTACCTTTAAACCTTGCAAACTCACTCTTTTGGATAAGCGGTCGACACCCAGTACGGTCTGTACCAATACAACCGGATGGCTATGGGATTGAAACCGGCTCCCAATTTTGCCCAGTACTACATCAAACAAACTCTACGTGACCTAAAGCAAAAAGGTGTCAAAATTTATATTGACGATGTTGGCCTGTTCTCCAATTCCTATGAAGAACATATGGCCTTGATGCAGCAACTACAAGCTGCTGGTTTCAAAATCAATCCCTTGAAGTGCGAGTGGTGTGTCCAAGAAACTGATTTCTTGGGCCATTGGTTGACTCCTGAAGGCGTCAAACAGTGGAAGAAAAAGATTGATGCCATCCTCAAGATGTCAGCACCTACGAATGTAACAGAATTGCGTGCATTTCTTGGTGCTGTTGCCATTTACCGCCACATGTGGCCGTGTTGCTCTCATCTTCTTAAACCCCTTACAGAGCTCACAGGCAAAGGAATGTTTGAATGGACTGATGAATGTGCAAAAGCTTTCGCTGAGATGAAAGCTCTTATGGCTAGCGATATAATGATGCGCTACCCCAATCCAAACAAACCCTTTGAAATCTATACTGATGCATCTGACTACCAACTGGGCGCTGTCATCATGCAAGAAGGTAAACCCGTCGCCTACTGGAGTCGTAAGCTCAATGCTGCGCAACGCAATTACTCGGTAATGGAAAAAGAAATGTTAGCTGTTGTTCATTGCTTGAAAGAATTTTGGTCTATGATATATGGTGCCAAGTTAACTATTTTTACTGATCATAAAAATCTCACCATGCGAACGTTGAACACACAACGAGTTCTTTGTTGGCGTATGTTTGTTGAAGAATTCGGTTTCAATTTTGTCTATTTGCCTGGAAAAGATAACGCGATTGCCGACTGCTTCTCTCGGCTTCCGCGAATGGAGAAGCCGTCTGATGGGAAGAGTCCAAATAAGGGTAAATTGATTGCGTTTGATAAATTACAGGTTTCTGTTGATCCCTTAGACGAAATCTACACGTTTGAAGATAATGTTCTAAAAAAAGAAAATGATTTGATCACGCCACCAACAGAAGCCAAGTTCAACAGTACCTTTCGATGTCAGTTCTCCTGTTGCCAAGATGGAGATATTCATGAACACCTGACCATTGACAACATTGAAATGGAAGAGTCCTTTTTGAATCATCCTCCTCTACAAACGATGCCAAACCCAATCACAACGCCAAACATTCAACAACATCAAACTCAAGATCAACTGCTCATGCAACAAGCTCAATGCGATGCACAGCACTACTAGATCACGACAATTGACGAGCAACTCATCATCGCCCATCAAATTGATCCTGCACATCAAGACGATTGGAGAATTTACTTGCCTTTGAGTTTGGTTGATGATGTGATCCCCTGGTATCACCTTGTGCATGGACACAGAGGAAAAACGTCAATGTATGCTACAATTGCAAAGCGATTCTATTCTCCTGGATTGAAGCAACAAATTGAACGATTCAATTGTGAAATTTGCCAACTCAATAAAGTGGCGAATGTTCAATACGGACAGTTACCTGAGCAACACACGGATTTGGTTCCATGGTTCTCCGTTGCGGTCGATTTGATTGGTCCATGGAAAATTGACGTCAACGGTAGAGAACTTGAATTCAACGCGTTGACTTGTATTGATCCCGTGACAAATCTCACTGAACTTGCTTTTATCAAGAATAAAACTGCAACACACGTAGCAAGCGTGTTTGAAATGCTGTGGTTGTTGCGGTATCCGAGACCATACAAATGTATTCATGATCAAGGAGGCAAATTCATTTGCAAAGCCTTCCAAGCGAAACTCGCTACTTGGGGAATCCATGATGGCGGAACCACTAGCAAGAATGCGACCGCAAATGCGATCTGTGAAAGAATGCATTTGACGGTGGCAAACATTTTGCGCACCAGATACAATAATGCCGCTCCAAACTTTCAAGTTGCTGTTGAAGAAGTCAAGCGAGCTCTTGCTGCTTGTAACCCTCTCACAGATCGCATTTGTGCGCTGAATTTCCACTGTACCATTAGTGTAAACATTTGTAATAGGATACGGACCTCTGTATTTCGGATCCAACTTTCTTCCATCAGTATTCTTGATCAAAACTTCTCCACCAATTCTGTAATCAAACTCTTTTCGCTTCGCGTTCTGCCTTCTCAAGTTTTCATTGATCTTATACTGTCTCTTTTGCTGCATAGAAAGTAGATCGACAATCACAGGAATGTTTAGTAGCATGTCACGATGAAACACAGTCTCACCAGGAGTATTGTTCATCAAAGCTGTCGATAGAGCACATCTCATTGCATAACATCAGACGGCTTGTGCCGTTCCGTCGAGTCTGATGGACGATATACTTGCATCGCCCATTGCGTCAAGAACCACCTCTGAAGTTGAATGGAGGATCAAGTGGATGTAAGGACGCCTTGTGACTTTAATGTATGATCAATCGACTGGCTCTGATCATAGAAGGGAAGAGTGTAATGACCTTGGAGTGACCTTGGAACTAGATTAGACCTTTTGGAGGTACATACATAGCTTTAGGCCTAACTCTTACGTCACTCCTTTCTGTGGCTTTCTGAGAGACTCTATAACTTTTGTTGTGACCCATTCCTATCTCTTCTTCTAGGCTGGTTCAGATATGTGTTACTTTTAACAAGTTCCACAATCATCTACAGAGAATTTTGAATTTTCACGACCATCTACAGAGAACTTTTTGTCTTCACGATCATCTACAGGTAATTTTCATTTAATGCGCCACCACCTTCTATATAACATAGTCTGTAGGTGATCATGGAGATTCAAAGTTCTGTAGATGGTCATGAAAATTCAAAAATCTCTGTAGATAATGTGGAATTGAACCGATAAGTATTACTTAACAAGTTTCACAATGCCAATGGCATAATAATAATTCACAATTTGAAAAGTATAAAATATAACAGTTTCTTTGCGAGATGGGAAAGCAGGGATAGCATTTGGGGAGTCTCAATGAATCTCCCAAAAGATCGGTAAAAAATTCTCTCAAGTTCCCTAAAAGTTCCCTGAAAGTTCCATAAAAGTTCCCTGAAAGTTCCATAAAAGTTCCCTGAAAGTTCCCTAAAAGTTCCCTTTTTTTCCCCGGGATTTCCAGGATATCCCCGTGTGAAAACAGTTTTACCGTGTCATCATTCATTAGCACGCGATTCACAACCTATAGTCGGGTTTGGCGGTTTCGGTTTCGCTAAATGCCCAAATTTGCCACACGGTCCAGGACCGTGTGGTAAAAACGTGTATTTCAAGATTCTCCGATCATCGAAATTTTGTGTTTCCGCGCGGAAAAGACGAACGTTATAACATGACCCGTTTGTCCGGACGGACACCCGAAAAAAAAGGGAACTTTTAGGGAACTTCCCGGGGATTTTTAGGGAACTTCCCGGGGATTTTTAGGGAATTTCCCGGGTACTTATAGGGGACTTTCAGGGACTTTTAGGGAACTTTTAGGCAACTTTTAGGCAACTTTCAGGGAACTTTTGCAAAACAATATTCCCTCAAAAGACAAACCAAACAAATAATAGAGAATTGCACTATAGTAGATGACGCTATTCAAAGGACGGCCATTCTCAATATTGTATTGAATCAAAACGAGAAAGTCAGTGTAAAGGGTTTCATGCTTGTCCATAGTATAACAAAAACAAGTTCCTATAGTGTCAAAACGTTTCAATCTCTCGTTGAAGTTCTCCTGCCACCGAAGTCTAGCCCAAATCTTGAACTTGAGAACTTTGGGGTTGTCGGTTTCTTGAATAACAGATGTGACCATCCAGTGAACGAAGACAAAGACCTTGTTCTAAACAAGACTTTTTGGCCAAATGTACGCCATTGCCCATCTGCGAGTAGACATGGTTTGGGTCCATGTTTTCGGTGATGTCTCTCCAGCACTGTCCTTGATAGGTTTCTTGGGCTCTTTTTTTGCATTGTTGGTTCTCCAATCCTTCAACTACTATTGTCCAGCATTGTCAGTCACTCCAGTATTCATTGTAGGCTATCGACAGTGAAGAGTGCCCTTGTTGATAGCTTTGAGGAATTTCTAAGTTCTCTTTCCCCTGGTGATTTTTTTGGCGATGATCACAGATGTCATCTACAGTCGTCGACTCGCCTTGTCTTTCAGAACGTCAATGGCATTCCAGCCTTAGCGACCGGATGGAAACAACAACAGATTAACCAGTGGTTGAAAGAAGAACGAGTGGGGATTGCGTTGTTGGCGGAGACCAACACACACTGGCCTTCCCTTCTGGAAGGTCAACACTGGAACGATAGGATGCGACAAGTAGCATCTAAGGGATATTATTCGGTCGCGGCGCACAATGAGAACCGAGCTCGTCCCATTGCCTCGTGCTCGCAGTACGGTGGATGTGTGGCAACTATCTTGAACTCAGTTGCCCACCGTGCAAAATCTTTTGGTCGGGACCCCACTAAATTGGGCAGGTGGGCATATGTACGCGTCCAAGGCAAGAAGTTTGCAATGCCAACACCAGACGATCAAGTTCGCGAAGCTTCCGATGCTTCAAGGAGTCGGTTCTCTAGGGATTTGGTTGTGGTGTCTGCGTACCGACCTAACCCTCCGGGGACTGGGGAGTCTACAGTGTGGGCACAACACCGGAGTTTCTTTCGCTCCCAAGGTCGACTGCGTGAACCAAGGGAGGCCTTTATGGTGGACCTACTTCGAGCCATCACCCAGTGGCGCGATGAAGGATGTGAAGTAATTTTGGGGGTCGACGCCAATGAGGACATCAGCTCCACTAAGTCCTCTTCTTTTCGACAACGTCTTCGCGATGTTGGTATGGAGGAAGCTATCCTCCAACGACACCCTGGTCGAATGGTTGCCACTCAGCACCGGAACAAACGGGGCACACCGATCGACGGCATTTTCACGACCTCTGGGGTGGCTGTACAGGCTGGAGGCTACTACAACTTTGATGAGTTTTTCTCGTGCAACCACCGCGGTCTTTGGATTGATATTGACCTGGAGAAATCCTTGGGCGGGTACAAACCACAGCAGACCCCGTACAAACCCCGCAAACTTACTATGTTGGATACTACAGCAGTCCGCCGTTACCTGCACCTCGTTCACAAAGGCTATGAGGAATACTCCATCCCATCTCGCTTGGCGTCCCTACATCACCAACTGCAACTAAATGAAGGGACCATGACAGCAACAATGGGTCGTCATTATAACTGCCTGCACCGTCAGATGTACGTTGTAAGGCGAAAAGCGAAGGAAAAATGTAGACGGGTCACTAATGGATTGGTGCCCTGGTCTCCTAAGATGCAACAGTTTTGGGATTGTCAATCCTTGTGGAAGATCCTTTTGAAGGGGGGGAAGGGTTGCCGGGTGAGTTCGCGTAAAATCCGCAGACTGATGAAGAAGGTTGGGATACTGGACGCGTGGACAAAGACGACAACGGAATTGGAGGCCGCCCTCTGTCAGGACCGGAAGGACTACCTTGAGGCTAAGACTCATTATGCTGCGAAGTGGCGAAAGGACTTTTTGACAGTGCAGGCGGCAAAGTCCAAAAAGAAACAATGGCGGTCGCGAAAGGCCACAGACCGTTTCCTGCGGTTACGGCGGATGAAGCAACGGGAGGAGGCGAGACGCCGACGCCGCGCTCAGGGAAAAGGATCTACTGGGGGATTACACGCGATCCAAGTCGAAGAAAGGCTGCCTTCAGGC